GTTAGTTAGAACAGCCAGTGTTTGTTTACCTTGGCTGTTAGAGTGTATGTGGGACATAGGTGGCATCTTTCTGGATGTATGGTGTGAAGCACTGGCATAATTACACTGATTTGCATTTGGCATGTGGCACATCCACACCTTTGTTGCTGCAGGATTGATTAGAGTAGGGCAGGAAAAGAAAGCTTCTTAAACTGATTTATTATGTGGCCTTTCTGCTTTTACAGCCCTATGGATCTCATGATGACTCTGATATAGCAGTCTTTTTTTGTAAAAGGAAAAGGACTAACCACTTCAAACTTGCACAGGGACTCTCAGCAGAAATCTGTCTGTCAGCAGCGCACAGAAGTATTCAGGAACTCCTGGAGTTGCCTTTTGCTCTCTAAGAATCTTATGAAAGGTGAATTTTATTTGAAATGCTATATACGGGTTAATTTGTTTTTTAAATGAAAAATATTTAATTCCTTCTTGTAAATATTTATGTTTGTACTTCCTTAAGCGTTCACTGGGCCTCACCTAGCTAAATAAGGTAAGAATGAAAGAGCTGGGGGGAGATATTCTTGCTCTCCAGTTAACTAAGGAACGAGTTGACAGACGATTAGTTTGATATAAACAGGGAAGTATATGACATGTCAGAAGTCTGTCTGTTTTATGTGCGCTTATTGTAGGAATGCATCTAAGAGACAGATAATTTTTAAAGATATTTCACTGTTTCTAATTAGCTTCATTACATAACTCCAGATCATTGCGTGTGTTATCAGCAGAAAAAGGAAAATAAATTAAATCCAAATTCCTCCACGTTTTCATTAAAAGCTATGTAATAGCACATTAATTAAATGCATGTTTCTTTTCAGGACAATTCCATTTTCTGTAGCCTAGCAATAGGGACTGATTCCGTTCAAATGATATGATAGATGCTGCGAGGTCTGTTGGTTGCTTTCTGTAGGATCATCGGATACTTACACAAGCAGGAAGATGATCAATGAGTTTGAATACTGTTGTGTTTGTATCCAGTTTTTTGATGCCACGGTACAGTACTTTTGAAATTCTGTTCTGCGTTTTGAATACGTGTGCCTAGCTTGCAGCAACAGGGAAAGTTGCTACATCTTCCAAGTTTACTTCTTGGTGCCAAAATCAAGCAGACAAACACATGTATTTCTGATAATATACTAAAGTTGCCATTATTCTAAGAACTCATTTGGATTCCATTGTCTCCTGCAAGAGGGGAAATGAACTTGGATGACTTAGGTAGCTGAGATCTTTCTCAAGACCTTTTTGTCCTGCACAGATGTGATTTGGTTGAGTGAATTGATGGAGAATTGCACTTGTAAAACATTCTGCTACCTTGCAAATTTGAGACAAAAAATAGATGCTGCAAAGAAAAGAAGTGCCACGTTTGTGAAATTTCAAGACACTGGAAAATTTTGTGGTGTCTACATTTATTCAAGTTGGCTTAAATCAAGTACAAGTTTATAACTTTCTAGTTGTACAGGCATACGGTTCAAGCTTCACGTGTTTGATAAACTTGGAGATACCTGCACACTCGAAATACCTGTGGGCTGATGAAGTCAAAAGTGTACTGCTGTCAAAGAGCATTACAGAGGGAATGAGGATAATAGGTTTGAGCCTCTTTTGGCTGCTACACAAAGGGATTACACATAATGTTTGAACGGTCTGGGAACGTTTGTTTTTTTCCATCTGCTTTTTGCACCTACTGTTGTTTCATGGTGGAATGTAAATTTCATAATAAACATGTATAACATGTCCTTTTTCAGTATGTTGGTCATCTTGTGTGGTTTCTTCCAGATGTCATCATCTGTTCTGCATTGTTATTTAGTGAAATTGAAATTAGAGCTTTTTGACAGTTGGCTAGAATTTAGTGATTGGTGTACAGACTTAGTGAATTGGTATCTGCATAAGTATTGCATATAAAAGCTGTCTTAGAAATTGATTCCAAAACTTGATCAGGCTGTGCTAGTCTGTTAGCAGTTGTGCTCATACTTAAGCAATTAAAGGAAATATAGATGTGCAATACAAGTTGTGGTCAGACTTTGACTGCAGTTTAGATGTGTTGGTTAAATCTAGAAAACACCCCTTAGTATGCTGCTTTTTGAAAAACATTTTACTTAGGAGTGATAAAACTTCACATCAAATCACAAAATGCTCGTTAGCTTCTAAGCAGAATATTTGAATGTGAGCCTCAATTGAAATCAACATGCTTATGCTTTCTGGTACTACAGCAGCTAATGCTGCATTCTTCTAGCAATATTGTGACAAGTAAGAAAGAAGCAGAAAAGAGAATAGACTACTCTGCTACAATTAAGTATCTATCTAGGTCAGTGGCTTTGTTTGCATTTATTTTATGTGCTCCTATTTGGACATATATATTCTTCCCTTGTTTTTTCTTCAGACCTCCAAGGGAGGATTGCTTGAGCTTTTTACAGGAAAGTGTGTGATTTCCTATCTCAGTTAACTGTATTTTTATTAGGCTTCCTCTGTGTTTGTGATAAAGTGGGAGCAGAGACTGAAACCAAGCTACTTATCCTTGAAGAGTACTCCCTCTGTGCACGTCTCATGAAATTCCATATGCACAGGGGTGCCCAATTTTTGCCTGCAGCTGTGTGTACCTCCAACACATGTCCTTGCACCTGCTTTTGTGGCAGAAAGGCTCAGATTGTTTTCCTAAATTACTTCCATGGTACAGACTGGGAACAGTATTTATTACAATTAATAGGTTTTTACTAAAATTTGTCTAATTTAATAACTGATAGCAGAACACCACAAGAAATTAGGAACCACCATTATCCTACGGTAAGTATCTTGTATTTATTTAGCTTGCTATCTTTTCTGACATGAGAGGGTGGCAAAGGACTGGAACCCTCGTCTGACTGAAGCTGACTTTTCAGCTCAGCATTTCATATGCAGAAGATTGAGTTGGACGTCCTGAGGAGAGATTCTTCTCCTACAAGTCTCTGCAACTGTTGTACCTACAGGTGGTTAGGCAGGGTCAAGCCAAAAGATAGAATGCCTGCATCTGCATTGTAAAAGAAGTTCCCCAAGTTTGCTTCACCAACAAGTATGCAACTTAGATTGTTGCCTAATATTCACCATATCTATGCAGTTACAAAACTGTACATCTGTGTAAGAAATGGTGATCTATGTAGAGCTGCACTACTAGAGTAATACTACTGCGAATACACATGAGGATTAAAGAATGGCGTAACTCTCTGTGAAATTTAGGCTATTTCAAACTAGTCCTGGGTGATGGTTCTAACAGTCTTCTCAATTAAAACAAAACAACCAAACAAAAAAAAAAAAACAAGGGAAGCAAGGAGGGAGTGAAGAAAGCTGTTCTTGGCAATTGGTAGTACTTGTTTGTCACGAGTCACCTTAACAATTTACTGTTGTTTGTATTTACTAGTTGTGATGTTGATATACAAAGAAAAAAATTTACAATGAAAAAGATTTACAAAGATTTACAAAAAAAAAAACAAAAAAAAAACAAAAAAAGAAAACAGAATTTTTCTTCTTTTCTTTGCAAAGAAAGCAAAATATCTGCTGCGGAGAGAAGCATCAAGAAGAAAATTACATCAGTTGAAGAAAACCACCAGCTCACTGCAGTTTATCTCTGTGATGAAAATGTTACCCTAAGGTAAGCAGTGCAGAATTAGTGCTAGCAAACAACTGATACCAATGAGAGTTAGTCTAAAATGTGCAAATGTTTACCTCACTGTGTGTGCTGTGGCCTCTATGGCTGTCCACTTGTAACTTATTGGTGCACTGTCCCACTGGCAGGGGTGCTTGTACAGGTAACTGCAATACATGTGCCTCAGCAGCACACACAGACCCTTCAAAACCTTACTGGTGGTTGTTGTTGCTTTACATATCTGTTACAAGACCAAGAGCAGTAGAGGTAGAGGGAATTTCCTTTTTTCTTCATATGCATGAGTGTAATTAGTCTGCAGAGCTGCTGGGATTCCTTGTGAATCAGTGAGATAGTTGCTTTATAAGAGGAAACCAATTATAAAAGAGTTTGAAAGGGCACACATTTAATTCCTATTTGAAAAAGAGTTGCCAAACTGATTGAGGAGATTCCTAGTAAGACCTTGCTTATGAGATGCATTTATCTTGCTGGAAAATTCCCCCAGATTTTTTATACCATGTTCTCCTGGGGAAATTATTTCCTTCAGAATAGGTAACTGTAGTTGCTGTAGTTTTTTTCCTTTAACTCTTAAGAGTTGCCTATACAAGCATGCTGTCAGATTCTTCTGATTTCAAATCTCTGGGCTCACTTAAATTTTGTCAGCAATACAAGCTTAAAAGACATTCCAGTCTCTACCCAAAGGAAAGGGAACTGTGCAACTTGTCATTTGGCTGTAACTGGTCCCAAGCTGGCTGATCGGCAGTGTGACAAGCAGGACAGTTAGAATAGCAGGAGCCCAGGGTGTATGTACAGAACAGAACGTTGCTGAAGAGTACAGGTGTGACGTAAAAGGTAAAGTACTGAACAGTATGCGTGGAGAGAGAATCTTGGATGAAAATCCAAAGTAAAAAAGATCACACTGGTAGCAAAGAGTGAAGAAATATTCAGCAGAGGAATCTAGGGAATTACTTACATTCCAAAAATGGTTCAACTGAAGACTGACCTAAAATCAGCTATATAGTCACCTACATTAATATCGTTACTGTGCAAATAGTAATCAGAGGAGGTAATATATTATAATATGTAATATAAGCTGTTCACTTATCTAGTAAAATCTTTTTTTGCTATGTCTGCAACAGAGACTTAAAGTCAGCAAGGTGAGTGAACATAAGCGTAATGCTGCACCTATGCAATTGATTGGAATGTTAAGAGTACTGTAGGTAAAGGATACTGTGAAATGCAGGTCACAGCTCAGGATGCTGGAGGACAAGTTCTTGACTTGTTTTTGAGAAAGACTGAGACTAAGTCTGAATGATTTAAAGCAGAGGGGTGTGTAAGAAAATACTGATGAGATGATGCATTCTATAAAATTTGCAGTCCCACGTCTTTTATGAAAAGTTAAACATAAAGTACACAAGGCTTTATATGAATTTGTATTTGAAAAGTATCTTAACAAAACAACAGCAACGGTAGGTACAGCTGGAAGGGCCTTCAATCTATTGTAAGGTTCCAAACTGGAGACCAGCTTTCAAGTATAAAAAGCATCACCTAAATTAACTCTTACATTCATAAAGCTTTTATTCCTTATCTGTTACCAATAAAAACATTCATATATATATATATATTCTGCTGGGAGCAGACTGATGTTTTACTGAATTCTCAGCTGAGATAAGTGGTTTTCAGGTTTCTGCAGTGCTTTCTGCCTCTGCTCCCATTTAGTTTACAGGAAATATAAGTTTTTTCCTCAGTGTGAAACTGGGCTGTGGCATTTGCTTTCCTGCATTCTGCTTGTCAATCTTGCTGCCCACCTCTTGATTCACTGCTGTCAGTATGGTGAGAATATCTTCTCCTCTGCAAAAAATACAAGCAGTTTTGTATTAGAGTATTTGTATGTAACATCAGAAAAGTTACTGTGTTCTTATATATCATCTTGACCTGTGCGCCACTGCTAATGGCTCTTCCTTTAAACCATCTTTAAAGCAGTTGGGTGAACTGCTTCAAACAATCAGTGTTGCTATTCTACATTGCTCTTTTCACTTCGAGTGATCACTCCCAGTGCACGTTATCTACCTCTGCATTCAAATCAAACTTGTGTCCTCCAAAAGGAAGATAAAAGGTGTTGCTAAAAAGTATCTTAGGAAGTATAGTTACCGAGGACAGCTGTTCTCCAAGTGTTGGCATAGTGACTGTATGTACCAGGTCCCCTGGCTTGGGCTTCTGTAGGAGACGTAATCTTGCAGGGTAGCCATGCCCAAGAGGAAGTCTGCCTCTGAGGGGATGCAGTCCAGCTGAAATCTTGCATCCGTTTCTAAAGAATGATCTTGCTGCCCGGAATCTGTTTCAATGGTTACACCTTTCTGATAAGCATCACCTTGGCAAGCCTGAACGAAGAAGACTTTTGGTTTTCCAGCAAGTGATTGGCAATTTTGCCCAGTGAAAGAAGTGGTCAGTTCCTGGATAGGTACTTCCTGCCCATCAACACCGTATATGATGCCTTTTTTTCCATGAGAGAGAATACAGCAAACAAAACAGTCTTTGTTGTTGTGGTCCATGCACCGATAGTTGTTCACTATCTTACGGATTTCCTCTGCAGTGCAGTCTTTGTATTCTGCTACTGTAAAATGAAGGTTGCTAAAGACTTTTCTCAGAGCATCTGGAAAGTAAACCAAGGAGTATTTAAAGCAGTTTTCTAAAATTACAAATAAACTTTTTTTTTTTTTTTTTTTTAATCCTGTTATCCAGGTATTTACAGTTTTTATCTGAAAATAATGCAGTAGTCTGATCACTAATCATATTTGTTTTACATTCCCTTCTCTCTCAATAAAAGAATTCCTTGTGATCTTGCTGTTTAGTATTATCTGCAACCTAGCTGCTAGTTCTCACACAACTTTACAGCTAGTCTCTGTGTCTTGCAACACATGTCAAACAGTGCCACTCCTTTCCCCAGGAGTGAAGGACATTAACTATTTGTCTAATTCTACATAGATGGGAGTGATTTCTCTTAGAATCATCTAGGTTGGAAAAGACCTTCAAGATCATAGAATCCAATTATCAACCAGACCTACCACATCCCATCACTAAATCCTGCACCTTAGGGCCGTACCCACACAGCTCTTAAATACCTCCAGGGGTAGATACTCTACCACCTCCCAGATAGCCCATTCTGGTGTTTGACCATCCTCACCCTTATGAAATTCTTCCTAACATCTATCTAAGCCTCCCCTAGGACAACTTGATCATGCATTCAGTAAAAACAAAGTTAGCATATTGATTAAAATATTACAAAATAAAAATACTGACATGCATTTACCTCTAAGTTTTCCTTTGATAATACATCCTTTGATAAAATATATATAAAATATTTCTGTCAATATATTTGGGTAGTACGTGCATCTCAAGAATATAACCTGCACTCTGCTAATGGATTTTTCTCTCCTGGTCAATGTAGTGCAAATATATCCATTTCATAGACCCTAGGATCTCCAACAAGCAGCGCTGCTGCTCTGCAGGACAGCCTACTGAAATGATTCCCTTGAATAGCAATATAATAGTGCCTGAATTCCATATCCCCATCCATTCTTAAGTTAGAAGTGAAGTAAAATTCTGGTTCTCCAGCAAATCTGCTTTTGATTCTGTGTATTTTAGTAGTATGTAAGTCTACCACTACAAGAAACATAGCCTTGACGTGGAAGATTGAACTTTAGACTCCTAGTCCAGAACACAAAATGGTTCCTGTTTTTATGTACGGTCCACTTTCCCTGACCATATGTAAACTCATTTGTAATGTTCACTGTACCTGCATCCACATCTGTCCCATTCCGATTTTTCATCTTTCTGAGTTCTGGCACTGCTTCCCTGGCTTTTGCAAAATTGTGATTATTCAGGATCAGGCAAACTCCACGGGGTCGGCTGGTCATTTTATAAACTTCAAGCTGTTAGAAAGAAAGATTTCTTGTGACTGCTTCTCAGCCCTTGTAGTGGCACAGAGGGTAAAAAGCCAGCTAGCTTTCCATCTGGGCAGCTCTTCCCGTACAGCTCTGCTACCAGGACTTGGCCATGTGCTGCCTCACAGCAAGACAGAACCCATCTTTTGCAGCCTCCACCATTACACTCCACCCACAAGGGGTGTTACATTCATTCACTTCTCTGTGCCTATTTATCTACCTGCTGCCTGTCTCCTGGTGTTAAAATTAGGGGTATCTTCTACTCTTAAAAACATTTCTTAAGCTTAATGCTTCTGCTGCTTCTGCCTGGTACATAGTTTCAAAATAAACAACGTTAAAGAGTAGTATATCTTTGTTTTTCTAGACAGTGCCTTTAGCAGCTGTGCTTATGATAGTTCATGTGCACTTCATAAAGGAATGGTCTCTTCTGAGACAAAATTGTGACATTTCTAAGACACAAACTGACTTACCTGTGAAGGCTGATCACAGTTGCCGAGAGAATCAGGTGCCACAGATGATGCCAGCCATATGGCACTGTCTGAATACACACACAGAACATATGTATAAGTAAACAATTAAAAGGGAGTTTAAAATGCTGCAGTCAGTTAGTAAGCAACAAGATACTTGATCACTTCTCAGATAGGCGCATGTTTAAAGGCCAGATGCAGGTAGAGGTCAAAAGCTGGAAAAAAGCCAAAGATCTAAATGTTCATTTTGGAAGAAGTTTCAGTTACCTTCAGGGGCTCCTGTGCTGCTTCTTTGCCCCTCTGTTACAAGCATCTCTCCTTCACCTGTAAAGCATTCATTATTAGTCCTTTAAGACACCTTACATATCACTTCAAAAATAAAAAGTATGGGAAAGAGGCCTTGTTTTGTTTTACCAAATGAGTTTAATCCATACTCTTCAATTTTCTTCAACAGGCTCTTGTCCACTTTTCCACAAATAGTCTTCAGGACAGTTAAGTTGTCTTCTCTCAAAATCCCCTTCTTCTCCATCTCAATGAAAACGTCGAGCATTGTCTGAGCAATCAGAAAAGTAGTTTGCTCTTAGGGCAGATCCATGCTGCTACTGAGAAGGAAGCTGCAGCATGTTTAGGGCACCCAAGCTGGCTTTAATGTACTGACAACATAAGTGACCCACTATCAGTCTCAGTGTCTCAGTTGATACCTCAAGCTGATTCAGTTAAATGTAGGTTGACAAAAGCTAGAAGTACAATGACGAAAAATATCTTCCCAAAACAAGCTTATTTCCCTCCCACTGCTCAGAGATGCTGAGAGCTAATGGTGATCACATAGGAACAAATGATGTCATTTTTAATGACATTTATCTGACTTGCAGCAGCAACTTTGTGCACTTGACTGAAACACAAACATCACTGGAGCAAAAATGGGTATAACCATGCAAATATAAAGAGTTCTCTGAAGAGGGAACCCAAGGGACAGAAGCTGTTGCCAAAGAGAGTGGCAGAGCACAGCGGTCACCCATGGATTTTACTAGAACAGCCACCACTGAACAGGCACAGTTGATCCTCTAAGAAAAGAGGAAAGATTTTAAAAAAGATTTCATTAGGCAGAACAAAGTACCTAGCAGTCTAAAGGGCAGGATGACATAGTGTAAAGAACAGCTGTATCTCTTGCAATGATGTAAGTTAACTCCAAGCTCTTGGGCCTTAGCTCTCTGCCTGGATCTGTTTGAGGTTTTCTTCTAGGTTTGGAAATAAATAGAACCAGAACATTACAGGAATAGCTCTAGTGGGTGATTCTTCATTCGCTAATGACTTACTTAGCAACCAAAAGAAAACCAGCTGGAAAAGATGAATGAAAGTGCTCAGCCCTCTACTGAATAAAACCAGTCAACCCTACACAGAGCTTGGGTGTGCAGGCATCATGCCTGGCCCAGGGCTGAACCGTGCTTTCTGGGCCGGAGCAGTACATGTCACACTGGCACACAACAAGTCCTCTATGCACCATTCCCAGTCTTCCCTTTTCCTTACGGAAAAGTGACTCTCATTCCCCTCAGAGCAACCTAAATATTGCTATGTATTATAGCAGTTATTTAAAAGAAAGAAAACAAAAGAAAAACAAAACAAAATAATTCTTACAGTTTCAGGACTTAGCTTGCATTTTGGTAATTCTTTTCCCAAAAGAAACTTGAAACATTTCATGTCATCTTTGGTGATGTTTTCTGACAGCTGAAAGAGCAGATATCTAGAAAGAACAGGAGAGGACAGTTTCATTATGTTTTCTAGCATTCACCTTAGCACAGTTTAATGCTGTACCATTGAACCATCCCCTCTGCACCCCCAGCTGCCTTCCCAGGGCAGCTTTTTTTTCTTTTTAATCTGAGGACATTAGTCCCAGAACAGACAGAAGTCAAACCATTTTCAGCTGCAACCAAAAATATGTTTTTTCCCAAAATCAGAATTGCACAGAAAGTTTCTGCACTGGGACATGAGGGTAAAGGCAGTCACACCCAGTCACTGACTGCAGCCCACAACAAAGGCGGGGAGGCCTTTGTAGCCTGTAAATTATCTCCGAATCGTAGAATCACCAAGGTTGGAAAGAAGCTCTGAGATCACATAGACCAACTGTCCACCTACTGCCAGCATTTTCCCACTAAACCATGTCACTTAGTACTACATCCACATGTTTCTTGAACACCTCCAGGCACAGTGACACAACCACCTCCCTGGACAGTCCATTACAGTGCCTCACGACTCTTTCAGAGAAGAAAGCTTGATCTTCTCTCCTTTACTGGACAAAAATTTTCTCTACTGCTTGTACCTGCTTTTCCTAGGAAAGACGGAGATGCTTATGTTCTGCCAAACCTTACCTTGGTGTTAACTCATCAGTAAAAATCTTGCACCTACCCACCCAAGAAGGATAACTGATCCCCAGAGAACAACTCCGGGGTCAGGCTCTGCCAGACTTTCGCCTCCAGGACCCTGGTGAACCCACATTGCCAGCCGCTCACCTGAATGGAGACACCCGTGCCCTGCCTGGGACCTGGAGCTCCCTCTCCATCTCCTCTCGGCTGGAGCCCAGGTGGGAAGCCAGAAGGTCCATCCGATTGATGCGGTAGAGCAGCTCCTTCAAGAAGAACAGGTCTCCCACCTCAATCATCCCTTTCTCTTGTAATGCTTGGAAGAAGGCCTTGGGCTCCTCAATATCTTCCCGCCTCCTTACAGTGACGTGCTCCAGGCTGAGAAACTTCAGAGATGCCAGCTCAGTCCTGTCCAGCGCCTCGCTGATCACGAAGAGCAGCTGGGAGAACTCCATCTCCCCGCAGCAGCTCCAGCCCTGGGGCGGGATGGACGCCACTTCCTCGTGCACCCGCGCTTCTGCGCTTCCGTCCGCCTCCCGGCGGGCGGGGCAGCGCCCAGGCTCCTGGGAGCTGTAGTTCCGTCTGGATTTCTTACTTGAAAACCCACAGTTCAACTCAGAGACTGCTTGTCTGCCAGAAGGGGAGCTTTCTGACAGAGCTGAGGCTGTCTCCGTTCACAGTTACGGAGCGCTGTTTTTAAAAAAATAGAAAGAGGCCGGAGAAGTCGAAAATCCCTGCTATGCGCTTGGCACGATCGGGGGGAGAGCGCAGGGGCCGGTCAGCGCTCACCAGCGCCCACCTCCCATACGCCTATCTCCACAGGCGTCACTGCTGTCCAAATGCTGAGCTCCTTCCTTCAGCCTGAGCGGCACTGTGCTTCATATTTCCTTTTCTTCTCTTACCATGAAATACCAATACATCTCTCTTTACTGCTTAAAAAAAAAAAAAGCGTCCAATAGCACATCAGTGCTCTTTTTCCAGCGGACAGATTTCTCATTTCACTTCAAACACGCATACTACTGACAGAAAGAAGTGAATTTTACACATGTGAGTGGTTTTGTAACACATGCAAAACACAGCATTCTGTGCCGTTTTACATTAACACTGCTCCCTGCTTTTTTGAATTCTTTCCTTTTTGCTTCATAAAATTCATACACTCACTAAGCAAAACCAGTAAGTGGAAACGTGGGGGAAGCAGAAGGAATAGCTTTGCCTCTGTGCTGAAGTATTTCAGAAGAAACACACACACAGACACATGAAAATCAATTGCCAGAGTGGCACTTCAGTGGTTAAGCAAAGTAAATTAGAGGACTTCAGAGTTCTCCAATAAGAGTTTGAGCTCAAATCACAGCACTATCTTCACATGCATCCCAAGGATATTTCCAGCACAAAAAGGAGTCTTGAGAAAACTGAACTTATTTGAGCAGGTCAGGAGCTCTCCCTCTGCCTACTGCAGTCACACCTCCACGGTCTAAGGGCACTAACAATTCATCGCTATTTTAATACAAGTGAAAAAAATCTCAGAACACATTTCCTCCTCGCAAGCCACCCCCATGCTGCTGACAGGAAGCACAGCACACTCAGTCGAGGTATTCAACCCCATTCCCCAATAACAGGCACAAGCCACTGAACCAACTTCCTTCCCAGCCCTTGGGATTTGCTGGAAGCTTTCAGCAGCAGCAGCAAGCCCACAGGAAGCAACACGATGGGGTGAGAACTTGGAATGGTGCATAACCTCTGTTATAAATTCTAACAAAGAGATGGTATTTTACAGCAACAGGAGGAAGGAGGGAGGTGTTTTTACTGGTTAGAGTTTCATGGTTCTGAAGCTGAACATTAACAGCACGGAGAGCTGCACTCGGCACTGATTTTAAAACAACCTCTTCCTACCAGTACTCCCTTTGAAAAAAAAAAAAAAAAAAAGTATACAGTAATCTGTGAGCATACTCTCCCCGCCCCAACCTCATCCTTTGGCCTGGCTGTTACACCCAAGGCTGTGTTCAGGGCTGATAACAGTTTCATCACGTACTGTGACTGTGCTAATCATCTTACCCCATAAATAGTGAAAGCCCCGGAGCCCCTTGAGCTCTAATCCTCATAACAAGGCTGCACGTGTCCTCTCAGTTCCTCCTAAATATTGTGAGTCTTGAGCATCTGTAGTCACAGGATAAATTATGTGGAGTAATCACTGGAAGTCGCTTATTGGGATATTCCCCTCTCAAAAGAAAAAAAGTATTGTAGACAATTCCAGGATGGAATGCAGTAAATATGCACAGAGTGTATTCCATGACAGTTCCTTAAGCCCAGGGATGGGAACTTTGTGGTACTATAGAACAGATAACTGCATAGCAGTCAATGATGGTACTATGAAACAGGTAAATGGAACAGATAAGTGCATAGCAGTCAAAATGAGTTAGTTTTCAGTTTTCTGTTGCACCGATTGCAACAAAGATAAGTAATATTAGTCATTCAAGCTCCACATGAAAGTAAGAAAATAGTATAAAAAAGGGAGGAGGAATTTTTGGGAAAGATACTATTGCAGACAAGTTGGGAGGACATGCTGACTTCTGGAACCAGTCAATGGGCTGAGCCGCCTCTCTTCCCACCCCCACAGGGATACCTATCGGGTGAGATTTGCACACTCAGTTACACCAAGTGCTTTCTTGGGAAACACAGAAATCTCTATGGAGGTATTCCATAGTTCAGAGCTGCATTATTCACATTACTGGTATTCAAAAGAATCTGCCATATTTACCCTTTAATACAGCAATTAACCAGAAATATTTACATTATTATCATACAAGTTACTAATGTTCAAAGCCCTAAGCAAGATATTTGATTACTGCCTGCATATAGATTGGGTCAAAGGTGGAAGTAATCTGAATGCAGTGAGACTTTTTTTTTCCCCTTTTTAAACAGCGTATGAGTTAACATCCCTCAAGTCCTGTTAAAACAAACTCCTACTGAATAGACTGCAGGAGCTATGGATCTGTTTTTTTTTTTTTTTTTTTTGCACTAACATGTCTGGACAAAACAGCTTAAACACAAAGTTGATATTTGATATATAAAATAGCCAGGCGAAGCTCCAAAGATACGTGCAGAATAACTTTGTGTCTAGCTAGGAATGTGTTACAGTTGAGAACTGCAGAAGTCAGTCACATCATGTGACTGGGGAATTCCCGCCGTTGTCAAACATAGAACAAACACAGCAGTAAGCAAAGGCACAGCTTCAGAAAGGAAACACAAATGAGTACTTGGGAATTCCCAAAGATCTCAACTATCTTTTAGAACACTGCACAGAAACCATTGTAAACTAAACATGTTTTCTGTAAGTTTGCATCTCTTTATCAGAAAAAGATAGATCTGAATAATTCCAGAAAAGATGTGCCCGTGTAAGTTAGGGGTCAAAATAAAAAGGATGGCCATCAAGGACTTAACATTAAAAATTTCATGAGAACATTCTAGCTCTGAACTCCCTGCTGCACAACTGGTTCTCCTAAAGAATGTGGAGTTTGTTTCCACTTTTCATGAGTTTCCATGATTTCCCGTGTGAGATGTAGATGGCAGACATAGCCAACAATTAAATAGAAGTAAGTAATTAAATAAAAAGTCTCCTGTAGACAAAATTTTCAATGCTCTAAAAACTTTGAAAAGAGTGAACCCTTACCAAGTTAGTGGATACTTAAACAGCAACCCGTGCTGAGAGAAAGCAGCAGCGAGCAGGCAGGCTCCTAATACGTGCCAAAAACCCACCCTGGCAGCAGCAGATTACCAGTTGTCATAAAGACTGAATGATAAATTTCCCAGGGAAGACTGGCATCAACAACTCTCTGGGACACTGACTTTAAACTGATGTTCAACTGAAGAAATAAGAAGATTCAAATCAAAGAGCAGACATTCATGGCTCTGAATGAACGCTGTTTCCGCCTAAGCAGATAATGGCCCTCCCTCGGTCTTCTCAGCATTTTCTTTCCCAAACAGCCTCCCTTTGACTGCTTGCTTTCTAGCTTATCTCTGCAGGACCTAACTGAGCCTTGCCTTCCTGCCAATCTTGTGATTCACTAACCACTGGTAGTGCTTCCATTGGCTGAAAGCATAACAGACTCAAGTGCCAGCATTGCTTCAGTGCAAAGTTCTGCCTCCCAGACATGAGTTGAAGAAAAGGGAAGGCAGGCTGACTAACTATAGCCTTCTGAACAGAGAGGCAGTCGCCCCTCCCCCTTTCCCCGACTTGTGCTACAGAGAAGAAACAGTCAGGAAATTGTACAGTCTTCAAGTTTCCTTCATACCTCTCAGCTCTGGTAGAGGGCAACAAATATGGTTGGAAACATTGCAGCCACTCTGCCATGGGGCTGCGCATATTTATTTTGCTCAGAACCACAAAAAATGAAAGTGCATTTTCTCCTTCATTGAGTCACATATCAACTCACAGTATGATTTCTTCCTGAAATTACTTGTAAGTGACAAGAGTTTCTCCAAAAGTCATGCCTCCTATTATATGATAATATGTTTATTATTACTATATAAAAAACCCAAGTAACACCAAACAACTAAATTTGATATTAGACATTAAATTCTCCTCATGTGGAATAAAAGAACCTAATCTGAGAGGACAGAACTCTGACACAGAGACACTGAAAGAAACAGAAGTGCTGTAGATTCACCACTTCACTAATACCAGTAATATTTTCTCTAAATTCTACTGGAGCAGCTGCTGCCTGCCAGCAAGCTTCTCCCAGAGGAAGCTACATGCTGATTTCATTTAAACCATATTTCCAGAAAGTTTAAAAGAAAAAAAAAAAAATTAACTTCTACATTTACAGCAAGGTCTCACTTATGAAAATGCTATAGAAATGTGAATTGTGATGTTTCCTCAACAGTTAACCAAACATCAGCTATAGAAATGCATCATAACCTGTAACACCTGCTAACATCTGCCACAAATAGCATTCTCATTTATATAACACTTGTAATATCTATTTATTATTTATGAAACCTGTATGAATAGAGCTGTGATTCTAAGAACAGACATTCTCTCTTTTACTTGGAAAGTAAAAATGGTAAGCAGAGCAACTGTCAACAACTGTGAAGAATTAGGAGTAAAAGGCCTCACTTCAGGAAGACAAACAGGGCTGAATTAAGAATCCCTGCGTTACAGCTTGACACAGATCTATTAAGAAAAAAGCATGACTTATAAAGTGTTTCACATTGATCCTTTATCTTGCTACAAAGCTTAAAAGAGATGTAGCCATTAGAATTTCAGATGGCTCCCAGATACTACATACATATTGCTGAAAATACAAGGTAAGAGCAGTTTCACTGGCATCAGCTCCCGTTATCAGGAATGTCTTAACTTTAAGTTTATTCTTTTCTACCATGTCTCCATCTGCTAATGAAAGAATATCAATGCGCCACCTCTCCGTCAGAGTGTCTGCCATAGAATACTTCAGTGAAAGCAAAAATAACTTCTTTAGCTGAAGCAAAGGAGGTTCATTGTGCTGACTGTCCCTCAGTTAGCTCCTGAGAGGAAAACACCACAAACAAGGGTGATGTGACAACAAACAGTGTTTATTACAACAGAGATTAGGAGCCCCTAGAACCTACAGCCAGGAGGCGACAGTATCTCAGAATTGTGTCTCATGGAATGGAACCTTACTTGCAGTGGTCAACAGCCTTTCAAAAGATAATGCTTCCCAAGCATTCTGAGGAAGAGCACAATTGGAACTTATTATTAAAAATTCTAACCAGCAATGCTGCCCAACCATGCAAATCAATACATAAGGCAAACAAACAAACAAACAAAGAAATGCGAAGGAAAAGAACCAGATATATAACAATCATTTTTCTTTTGCCCTTCTGGATGGAGATATTATTTTCTGTGAAAAACTACATAGCTTCCAGAGATACTCAGTCACTCACTTCAGTGTAAATCAGTTATAACCTTACACAGGTTCTCTGGGAAGGGATCTGGTGCTCTGAATCTTCTTGTTCTTTCCTTCAGATTTCAAGGACTTACTCTCCTAACAGACAGAAATTATAATTCCATTAACATATAATACTTAAAAATCATACTGCTTGGAGGTGCTTCCTCACTTAAGACCAGGACTGAACAGATTTCAGTGCTTCTGCACGACAGGAAAGCAACTCTTTACTCCTCCATTGCCTACTGATTTAAGTTTGGGCACACTCATCACACATGGCATTTGAAAAATTTAGGTCAGATGGCTCCTTGCAGGACAGCAAAGAACTACACAGACCCAGACCATTTCTCTTGCAATTTCTCTTAAATTCCCTGTGGAAGTCCATTCCAGAAGCAATTCCTAATCGAGGACATTCTTATTTTTCCTGCTTTTCAATTGACTGGCATTGTGGAATTTGGAAGATAAATTGTTTCCGTAGGGTTGATGTTATCTTTGGCATCTGTTTCCACCCATTTAATATTAGTCTTCCCACTTCCTTGTTCACTTCTGTCAGGATGGTTATGAGATCCTTGCGACTTGAACAAAAATTAAGAAAAGTTACATTAAAATACACAGTATGTGCTGCTAGGGCAGAAACTGATCTATTTTTGCTCCAATAAAGTGAGATCTCAGAAAGTTATTATCTATCCTTCACCTTGCCCACAACTAAAATTGCACATCCCATTTTTTAACCAAAGAATTCCATATGTTTTGGGGAATAAAAGCAACCTCCATGTAGGATCACCTTACAAATTAACACAGCTTTCCACTTCAGTTGTGGTCACAGTAGCACAATAAAATGAAACAGAACCAATCTAAGCATTCACCAAGCTGCCCTTTGAACATCATAAGAAGGTAGAGCCTGGAGGAAAAATTCCATTTTCTAAATTAAGTTTATGAGGGAGGCAATGATGAGAATTATGAGTAAAGAATACTGATTTTCTGCCTGTGTACTAGCCCAACAAATTTGCCTCTCATCAGGTGTCATTTATCAGTCAATAAAATGTTGAGTGTGCACACATAAACACACCTGCCTATATGTAATGTTCCAGCATTACAACCCCAAATCTGTACTGGGTTAAAAATAGACTTACAGTGGGCAAAGTAACTCCATCTTGTCACAGAGGCATTGAATGTAAACACTGCCCGTCTCTATACAACGGTAGCATTCAAAATCTTCCACAGTAGCCATGCCAACCAGAACATCAGCCTGGTCAGGAATAGAAAGCAGAGGGATAGCATCCGTCTCAAGATGACCAGAACAGTCTTCCTTTACTGCAACAGCTGGATGACCTACGTAGCCCTGGCAGGCCTGTATGAAAAACAGCTTGGGCTTGCCAGCAAGAGAAGGACAATTAGATCCACTGAAGCAGGAGAGTAAATCTTTAATATCTACAAGTTCATGATCAACGCCTTTTATTTTGTTCTTCTCACCATGTGAAAGAATGAAGCAAACAAAACAGTCCATGTTGCTGTGATCTTTCTTGCTGTATTCTTTAACTTTTGCAAAGATTTGCTTTGCTTCTAGATCCATGTACTCAACTGTGTCAAACTGAAGCCACTTAAATACTCTCTTCAGAGCTCCTGGGGAAAAAAAAGTCAGAAGGTACTTATTAAACATAAACATCAGGCTATCCGCAGCAGAACAGTTCACCTGTCTCTTAGCCTGCCAAGTCTAATTAGAGAATGGCCTAATTTTCTTTTATTTTTTTAAAGGTAAACAAAAACCAGAAAAACCCTATGCAATCAGGTTGAACACTACTATTTAAAACAAAATGCATGTTTCAGACTGCCCTAAAATTTATCTGTACAATTTAGTGAAATGTACTTTTTTTTTAAAACAAGGCTTTCACTGTTTGCATAGCCATCTCAGATGCTTAACAGAACAACACTTGGCTAGTTAAGGAAGAAACAACTCTTTACAATAACAACTACCATTCTTAAACGAATTTGATCCCTCATTCTGTGAGAATGATTTATGCAGCAAGAAGGAATACAGAGTAACCTGCTAAAGTGCTAGCAAGGACAGAGTGCTCCATAGACTTCCCAGCAAATGTTGACTTGTTCAGGGAGAGATCAAATAGCTGGGAAGAAAGAAGCATGTAAACAGGCAGGGTGGAGTTAAAACATCATTGTTGTGTGCTTTCAAGAAACTGATTTTAGTTTATTAAGTTAAAGAAGTGATTCCTGCAAGAAAACATGCATTAAGGACAATTATAAAACAAGAAAATAACTGCATTTATTTGAGCATTATTGCAAACGGGTGTCCATACTGACTAAATTGGAATGCTTTCTCAGCTTGCAGCATGGCCAAGCTGTAAAGCAAATGAACACTGAAAGATTTAAAGGACCTCAGAAGTGCTACTCTATGATAGGTAAAAATTAAAAGCAATCAGAAAGTGAAAGAGCAGATTAGTAACCTCTCCTTCACTTTTTGTTACATATGACCAGTTAAGATGATGCTTTTTACTGACAACATAAACACCTTCCTTCTTAAAGTCATCAGCCAAACTGCTGGACATGGTGTATTTCAAAATTCTACAGTGATTGTCACTGCAGTTAATTTGGAGGCAAAGGAGCTCAGTGGAAGCAATCATTTTTCACAGTAAAAATTACTCTTTCAGAGGGTAATACAAGAGACTAAACTAGTCATTGGATTAAAAAAAAAGTACACACTTCCATCTTCCACTGTTCCTTCTCTGGTTTCATCTGGATTTTTGAAACGATAGTTGTTCAGAATCACGCAGTAACCATGGGGGTTATTTTCCATCTTATATGATTCCACATGCTGTAGAACAAAGAAACCATGTAAGAAAGCAGTGCCAATCACCCAAAAAAGAAATATGCTATGTATAGATTGGTGCTCCTCCATGTCCAAACACACACACACACAAATGTCTTGAGGGCAAAGCTACAAGAAAAATAGCTTAAGAGTACAAGTCAGCTCCAGGTACAGGTGAGAGGAAGTTGCTTGCTCTTCTGGAAACCCTCCTCCTCTTTCTCTTTGGTTAGGATATGATTTTGGAATGGGAGAGAGTATTCATTAAGTAAATTCTGCACACATGGAGGAAAAGTTCCTGCACTATACCATTCACTGAGAGTCCTGGCTTTCCAGCAAGGTAACAAATGCTTCTGGGCCCTTCCCAGCTGTCCAGGATATTCCTGGACAGGACTTTACTGTCCTAGTCTCTTTAACATTGCTTTTCTTCCCATGACAAATAGGAAAATGACCTTTATTGTCTTGTAAGGTTGCTGACAGCCAGGTCCTTACTAATGGATAAGGCTCAGGTCTTGTTTTGAAAACAGGAACTCTTCCACAGCCAACATAAAAACCAGAAGCCCTCTCTTTTAGCTCTTCCACTCACTTAGCCTTAAAAATTTATTCCCCCTGCTCCCAAGAGTTAGATGAATACTTCAAAGGTAATCTTGAGACATTTCTCACCCCACCCTCCGCTCCTTGTCCTGGTGGACGTGTAGACACACACACTGGAAAGCTCAGATTTTCGTTAGAATCATTTTCTAAGAAGGAGATAAACAGAATATTTTAGGATAAATATTCCACTTTGCATATTTCAACACCAAATAAACAAAAACCAACACAAAGAGATGAAGCTGTGCAAAGTTTGGAACAAATTATACAGTTGTGTTAAGACTGTACAGCCCTAATCAGATATTCTTAGTATAATAGTTATTAAGCAGAAGTGAACTTCTGGGCCTGTGCACGTACAGCAACCTGAGGCAGGAGATGGCAGGCACTGCATTCTCACAACAGCTGTACCTTGATCAATTTCTTTGTTCTTTTATTGGCAGCAAGGTCCAAATAATAGCAGCATGAATGTGATAGTCACCCCAGGAAAGCCATTCACTAGCATCTCCACTATGGGATACATAGGTAAAAGAATAAACCCATTTTTATAATGGTACACCGCAGCCAACTCATTTACTTCTGAAGTTACTGTCCCTTCCCTAGAGGGTTTATGTTGGTAGACACACCAGGCAAGCAGAACACTAGCATAACGGAAGATCTCTTCAAAGCAAGAAAACACTGCTCTAAGTACAGCTGCCAGGAATAAGTGAATAAATCATCACCCAGGATTCTACACAAGGAAATAAATGACAATACTTGTTTTAAATTGAGTTTAATTGTCAGAAAAGCAAGATCTACCAACATGCTCCTTTCCTGCATTATCAAGGGGGAAAAACTATACCAATAATACTAAAAAGCTATTCTCCTGACAAGGGGTTTGTTTATCCTGACCTTCCTTAGCCCAGGACAGAACAGAACATGTTTCAGGGAGAGGTACAAGAAAATATAATGCAACAGTGAAATAGCAGAGAACATTAGAAAGCAAGGGTAACAAAAGCTGTTCTGCTCATCTTAATATACTTTAAGAGGTCTCTCTTATCTCCAGATTCTAATATCCCAAAGATAGAGCTATGAAAGTCACACACACAAAAAAAAGTTATCCTCCTAAACAGCTGGTTAATTTACCTTTTGTTCTTTCTTCATAGTTATCAATTTTGTTCTTTAAGTCAGGTCTAAATGCCTTTAATATACTCTTCAACATTGTTAGGTCATCTTCCTTAATTATCCCATTTCTTTCCATTTCCACTAACACCTTCAACATTGACTGGTAAAAAAAAAAATAGGACAACAAACAAAAAGCATAACCCAAAATCATATAGTGACTCTCAATAACAGCATTATCAGACACTTCTGGAGAAATCAGCATCCTCGGTTCCCGAAGACTGATCAACTTGAAGATCGATTTATTTTTCCCCCAAACTTTATTAAAACAAAGGTCAGGATGCAATGTGAATGAAGAAACAAACCACTAACATAAAGACCATATTGTAGAAATTGCCTATGGCTAGGTTATCCTGCTTTGCTTCAGCAGTGCAAAACACTTAAGCAGATAATAACACAGCATCTTCTTGTGCTTCTGCATTCAGATGAACTGCTGTGAGCCATTCAGCTGCATGACTCTACATTTCCTAACACAGGAAATACCTTCAGCGATGACTTTATTATTTAAAGTGGATTTGTCCACCAAGTTGGAGGTAAATCTGCTCATTTTGCAATAGTTGCTACAACACAAATAGGACTTTTTAGGAAGCTTCTTTGTAATACCAAATACTTTTAAAGCACTATACATTATTTACAAAACAGGTGTGAGACCAGCTCACCAAACCTCCTAATATGATTGTGAGGGAATTAACAGAGTAGTTACCTCAGATTACAATGAAAAAGAAAACGTACCCAGTAACACACAAAAATTTGTGGTGGAACTCACTTGAGAGCTCATTTTATGATGTCTGAAAGATTGCCTTTTTTTTTTTTTTTTAAAGCAAACGTCACTTTTATTAGATACACCATGTGCACAAATGCCTTACAAAAAGTCAAGCAAAGATGAAAGACAGAGCATGACAAATATCGCAAGAAGATGAAAAGGCATGTAGTGCAGACAGAATGAGAACAGGAGAGTAAAAAGCAGTGAGAAAAAAGGGTCCATGCTGTCACAGCACCTGTTGGCTACCATCACAAATCTTTGAAGAACAGAAATTTAATGAGCGCACTAGTCTCTCCCTACTCCTGTCCTAAAATAGGCAGACTCTGAGATAGTTTTCAAGAAACTTCTCAAGATCATTTTGCTTACAGCATTATCCCGGAGCTTGTTCTTTGGTAATTTTTCTTGCAGCAGGAATTTTACACTCTTGACATCTTCTGGAGTTAAGTTCTCAGCAATTCCATATAGCAGTTGTCTGGCATTAAAGGTCAGAGAAAGACTGATTAAGTTATGAGAAGTGTAGCAAAATGTAAAACACAGTCTCCAAATTCACAGCATCAAGTAGTCACGCTGTAATAAATACAATTTTGCCGAACAATTCATAAAATAACACTATAGACAGAAAACAAGAAAGACAACAGAACTGTTGTACGTTTTGCTTGCAAAAGTATACTACTCTTGTGCCTACCTATAGGCTGACACCTTTGCCTTCCCTGGGACCTGGAGCTCCCTCTCCATCTCCTCTCGGCTGGAGCCCAGGTGGGAAGCCAGAAGGTCCATCCGATTGATGCGGTAGAGCAGCTCCTTCAAGAAGAACAGGTCCCCCACCTCAATCATCCCTTTCTCCTTCAGCACTTCAAAGAAAGCTTTAGGCTCCTTAGTATCTTCCTGCTTCCTCACAGGGACATGCTCCAAGCTGAGAAACTTTAGAGCTGCCAGTTCTTCTGTGACCAAAGCCTCAGAAATGTCAAAAAGGAGTTTCCAGAAGTCTGAACTCATTTCACATTAAGATTTTGATCTAAACACAGACAGAATTTGATTTGGTTTGTCAGTAATGGTAGTGCAACCACATGATTATAAAAGGTATCATGCCATACAGAATAGTCTGAGATAAATATATGTAATCAAACACGCTTCAATAGACAGAAGCTGTCCCGCAAACATAGCTTTGATACTTAGCCCTTTTGGTTCTCTGAACTCACTTCCTGTGGCGTATTTCAATAACCGGATGTACTGATATGTAAGACATACTATCCTGGCAAGTCAGTGGTTTTTCTTTTGTCACTCAAAATCTGAAATATAGACTACACAATAAATAAGACTGACAGATTTTGTACTATGACAAAGATAAAGGTTTTACATCCTGACAAAGGTAAGGGCCCATATGAGCATGTTTCTAAGCTATTTAGCTGCTTCAGTATACTGCTTCTGACCTTGGTCAGTGTAAACAAAGCACTTTGTCCTGTTTTGGTTCATCTGGAGAAAGTAAAATTCAGTCCCCGTTTCTCAGTAATATTCAGATCATGTCGACCTCTTCAAAAAGACCAGGAGAATTCTTGTCAAAGCAGTTCTGTTTCACTAATCATCAAATATCATCCTCCTCCTCCATCACTTACCACCTCTATCAGCTTCACCAATATTAAATTTGACTTGCGCATCCAGCCTTTGAGCACAATAGAAAGTCAGAAAACAAGTTTCAAATCTACAACTTACTGCAACTAGAACAGATGTGCCATCTACACGCTGTATTTAAGCCTGTCTGTAAATACAGGAGCACACTAAAACAATATTTAACTGCATCTGTCTTCTACTTCACTAAAACAAAACCGATACAACGGCAAACTATTTCTTCTGTACCATAAATAGCCACTTTAACACACTTACTTGGGAAGGTGGGCTGGAAGACTGCTGAGACAACTCTGAAAAATGAAAGTAATTGTCCTGGAAGTTTCGGGAAAAGTACTGGATGTACTATGGCCTGTGTTGTCATGTGACTTACAAAATGAAAGTTGTATCGAAGCTGTGATAATTTTGCAGCAATTTCCTTCTCCACTTATCACTCTTCTGGAATCAGGAAATTGTTACACTGGCCGTGAGAAAAATTAGTAAACCTACAAAAGTAACCGAAGCTTTTGAGAGTACACACTGAATAGCATAGCAAGGACTTGCTAGCATATGGTACTGCTCATTAAATGGTGATTAAATATGAATCCTAATTAAAAGATAGCAGTAAAGACGTGCATTAATTACATCTTCCCATTTAAAAATATCTCAGTTCCATCATCCTGTTGTGTCACCAGATCTTCCACATCCTACCTCCATTCTTTGAAGTCCCACTTGAACTCACCTAGCCTACTTTTAACAAGCATATTTATGGAAGATTATTTCCTAAAATGAAATATCAGCACTATATTCAGTAGCAGTACTTGGTGCATACAGGAAACTGAAAGGCTAAACATCTCCTTGAAATTATTTCATATTTCCCCATTTGCAAAAGAATTTAAACAGTATGTAAGTTTTGGCATTTACATCTTTTTCCATGCATAGAACTCTGCCTTTTGTGATGAAGTTCCAAGAATGATCTGTTGGTCACTGGTACACTTCATGCATTGAGAAACATATGAACAACAATCAGTACAGCTACCAACCCCTCCATCTACATCTGAAACTCAGTTCAATATCATGAAAAGAGACAGGAGAACAGAAATTCAGATTTCACAATGGAAGCTACCTTTCATTGATTTCAACATACCTGCCTTTAAGAACTCAAAATTATAACATACCCTTCAATAGAACGAGGCCCACAAACTTCTTCCAAAGGTCATACTCTTGTAAGAACTCAGAAAATTTGTCTAATGTTCAATTGCATGAGTCTTCCTTTTATCCAAAGGTTAGAAATTACACCAAGGAACAGAACAAGCACTCTCTGATCTTCAGGTCCAAAACAGCTCTGTCTCACGTCTTCCTATGCCTCACTGTCTCTCTTCCTTCATCAGTCACTCTGTGTCTTAAATGAATCAAGATTCCAGTTGCAGATTTAAAGAGGCAAAATACCGTGATTAGTAAAGCATGAAAAATATTTGCAGACAAGTCCAATCCTAAGATAGCTCTTTCCAGACAGAGATCTCTCCCATCATGCAGTTGTTCCAGGGAACACCCCTTCTGGTACTGTTCTTCCTGTTTTTATGATTTCACTTCTTATTTCTCTTTCATCTTTCTCCAAAATATCCCTGCTCTTTTATTAACCTGTAGTCACTCCAATTTCCCTCAGCTTTTCTGCAGCTCTATTTGGTCCCTCTGGCTTCACCAAGAACAATCTCGATGATCCAATTAATTCCGTGTACAGCAGACCACAAAAAATTCAGCTCTCCCAGAAAGGCTGGTCTCAAGGAAGCAAAAAATGCTGACGGAAATTGGTGACTGGCCTCTACTGGCAAAAGCCAGGATAAACCACTCCTACACAAAAAACTGCCAGTGTGGAAGGACTTGTCAATTATACAAATCTCACTTTAAAGATCTTCTGAGTAAATTATATGCAATTATAAATAAATTGTAACAAATCTTCCACACGCCCAATCTAAATCTCCCCCTTTTTAGCTTGAAACTGTTTCCCCTTGTCCTACTGCAACAAACCTGCTAGACTCTCCCCTTCCTTCTTATAGCCCTCTTCAGATGCCAAAAGGCTGCTGTAAGGTCTTCCCGGAGCCTTCTCTTCTGGACAGCCCCAGCTCTCAGTCTGTCCTTACAGGAGAAGTGCTCCATCCCTTGGATCATTTCTGTGGGCCTCCCCTCGATGTACTCTAATAGGCCTGCATCTCATCTCTCTTGTACTGAAGACTCCACACCTGGATGCAGTATTCCAGGTGAGATCTCACCAGTACAGACCAAAGAAGCAGGATCACCTCCCTCAACCAGCTGACCACATTTCTTTTGATACAACCCAGGATACAGTCGGCTTTCTAGGCTGCAAGGGCACACTGCTGTCTCATGTCCAGCTTACCAACCATCAGTACCCCACACCCTTTTTGACAGGGCTACGTCCTATCCTTTCATCTCCCAGCTTGCATTGATAGTAGGGTTTGTCCACTAATGCAGTTACACCATGAATGTCATTAAGGTCTCTTCTGCAGCATCTGATGCACAGACTCAGATGAGAACAACCCAAATCGTCTATTACAAGTTCTCACATCACTCGTGTACCTTCAGAAGTTTCCTTTTTCTAGCTTTCCCATCCACCTTCACAGGTCAACAGAACATTCTACAAACACTCTTCAACCGTTCACGCAGGTGCTTATCCAATCAGCCATGAGACATTCTTTCTTCTTCTAGGTGTCCTTGGTTCTCATGCTGTTTATCTTGCTCCACAGCTGCTGCTCTGAACAGTTTTTCTTGTATTCCCAAACTCTTCCAACCCGAATCACTCTTACGATTCTAAGATTCTTGTTAGTGCTTGTACTGATAAAATTCAATTGTTATCTGAACATATGAAAGAGGAGTGCACCAAATCTGAACACTAATTTTGAGCCAGATACTTGGTGATTCTATTATAGTGAATATATATATGGTGATATATATATATGCACTATACATATATATACTGATTCTAATATAAAATATATATATTCTGTATAGAATATTATATATTCTACTAGCAAAGAAAATACTTTCTACCTGTGGCATAAACGAAACCCCAAGAGTAGGACCTACACTAATTCAGAAGCCTTAGAATGCAGTCATGAATTGACTTAGAATATAGTTCAATTCATAACGACGAAAAGTAAAAGATGTTTTGGCAGATTGACTGCATTTTAATGTTTTGAGTGATACAAAAATCATGTATACTGCAAGCAAAAATTGGTTCCAAGAGCATCACTCCATGCTCTCTCACATTTACACCCCAAGTCTTGAGCTATTTTACAGCTAGTAATTATAGATAATAATCACTGTTTTGTTGAAATAAACTAAGCTTCACTTTCAGTTTAAGTCCTGAAGTAGTAAAAATCCCATCAATTGATGAGACCCAACAAGGATATAACACAAAGGAATGGCAGAAATCTGTGCCAGAGTAGGTTCAAACGGAATATTAGGAAAAATTTCTTTACCATGAGGATGGTCAAGTACTGGAAGGGGCTTCCTAGAGATGCCCCATGCCTGTCAGTGTCTAAGAGGCATTTGGATAATGCTAAATGCCCTCAATTACACGCGTTATCTTTTGATTTGCCTTGAAGTAGTCAGGCAGTTGGACAAGTTGATCTTCAAAGGCCTCTTTCATCTGAATTATTCCATTCCATGCTATTCTACAGGTAGGCAAGCAGAAGCAATGATAAGCTTTAGCCCTGTACAAAATTTTTATTACTACTTTCTTCCCCCACTCCCATGTTCTTAAAAAGAAGTATAAATTAAACTCAGCAACAAACAGGAAGGACACAGATACACATAGTAAACACCTCTAACAAAATAACATCACCTTATTTTGGTTAACTCTAAAACATACTCTGCTAGAAGCTTAATAAAGAGCCTTCTGTCCCATATGAATGCATTTTGTATCTTAAAATAAGAAATCAGAAAATTTAATGTTTCCAGTTAATCAGACTGATCAATGTATGCAGATACAATGCTGAATATTATCATTTCGTAGTGCTCAGCTGTTCCACGCTAACTTGCCTGTGGAAATGAGGGTTAACAAGGTTTCACAGAGGGAATACTGTAGCATTTTGTCTATACTGAGTCTTGGAAACATCCTGTATGCGAGTTGATGTTAGCTATTAGAGGGTATCAGTGTGTACAGCAAAAAAAAAAAAAAAAAAAAAAATGAAGTGATTTTCAGTAGTTATAAGTGATCTAAGTTAGGAATGAAAGAAAAAATTCTCCTCCACCTTCTACTCGAACTTTCTCTTCCTCATTCCTACCTTTGCCTTTCTCCATGAACACAGCTTATGGTTTTAGAAGTAGGTTTAAGCATTATTAGTATGCAAAATAAAATTTTATGAGTCTAAACCAGACTGTTAACATCCTTATTTAGATAAAAATGCTTAACATCATAGAAACTTGCTTCTCCCATCCTTGAAAATTCTGAATATACAGATGATGTAAATAGCTGGCACAGTGATTGTGTTAACTGCATCTCTTCCAACTCAGCTTCAAAGTTTCTCTGGAAGAAAAAAAAAAAAAAAGAGAGGCCTTGCCTTGACACCAACAGTTCCTGAGGAGTCAGTAACTACCTTAAAAAATGTTGTGAATTGCATTTAGAGAGACATACTGACAAAAGGATGTATTAAAAAAGTCTCAATGTCACTGTGAAGGAGGAGGGTCTCTAGGTATTGGGAATATAAGTTTTCTTCTTAAGGTATATGCTGGCTGCGGCATTTGCTTCCTTGTCCCACAACGGTCAACACGCTTGCTAACATCTTCATTAACTTCCGTAAGGATGGACAAAATATCTTCACCCCTGCAGCCAAAAAGAAAACAAAAATAAAAAGTGACTTATTAATGAGCAGATGGTACAGTTTGTCCATGTAACGCCTCTCAGATAATCTAGAAGCTACAGTATAAACACTTAAAGCCAAAAAAAGGTAAAACAAAGCACACCCTTTTTTCCAAATTCCCCTTCTTTTGATATTCACTTGAGTCATACTAGAAATACAAAACTTTTTCTCTCTTTGACTTCTCGTGCTTGATCTATTGGCTGGCAACCCTGCCTATGGCAGGGGATTGGAACTTCATGATTTTGAGGTCCCTTTCAATCCAAGCCATTCTATAATTCTATGACTAACATTCAGTAATGAAAGAGAAGGGAACAAAATATTTTCATCTAAATCCACTAAAGAAACGGATAGCTTCATCTAATATAACAGAGATTGGAAGTTCAGAGGTTTTTAGGTGTTTGTTTTTTTTTTTTTTTTTTTTTTTGAGGGGTAGTTCCCCAATAAACTTCACAGTGACCTGATTGACACTAAGCTACTACTGGTGTTAATGTAAATTTATCAAAGATGAATTATCAAACCAGTAGTTTCACTGATTTTGCCTATTTCAGAGCATGGATTAATGTTACTACTTGAGTTTGCCTTCAGAGAAAAATAAAAGAAGGGGAAATTCCTCCCATTTTTTCATAAAAGCTACCTAAATAATTATTTACCTCGGTACCAACGACTGTAGCTTGCTGCACAAGGCCTGAATATACCAAGTACCCTCTTGAACATGTCGGAAAGAAGCATATCCATCAATTGTGGCCATGCCTAGAAGGAAATCAGCCTCTTCAGGAATACTTTCAGAAGGAGAAATGCTCTGTTGTACAGAAGAGAAGTCAGGAACTCGTGCATCAGTTTCAACATAGACAGGACGCTGTATCTCTTTACCCTGGCATGCTTGGATAAAGAATAGTTTGGGTTTTTCAGTCAACTGTGGACATTGTTTGGCAGTGAAGTAGGTCATGATAGTGCGGATTGATACAAGCTTCCCATCTCTCCCATAGACTGCTCCTGACTCTCCATGAGACAGAATGCAACAAACAAAACAGTCCCTATCCTTGTGGTCTTCTGAACGCTGCCATGCTTGCATCAGTTCTTTAATCTGATCAGATGTCTGATTTTTGTAAGTCCTCACATCCAGACCAAGCCATTTGAATACTTTCTCCAGTTCCCCTGTAATTAAAGATAAGAAAGAAAAATTGAGGCAGTAGAAAACCATTTTACGGTCATTGTGCAAGCTAATTTTAAGTGTAAAAGACATTATATGCTGATCCTTCTGTAAATTCATCCATATACTATTATCAAATAAAAATTAATGGAATAAAGGTAGCATCAGCTCAAACACAGTAACTGATTCCTTCTAGACAAGTTTCAGAAAATACAATGACATTGTACAGTGTACAATCACAAACTGAGTTCAAAATTACATATGGAAATTAAGGTGATCTCTTTTGAAACCTTCTTAGAACGTTGTTTTCCAACTGCAGTTTTGACTATTACAGAGTTCTATCAAAAAGAGACAAACAGAATAGAGAGTACACATGGAACTGTTTGCTTAAGGAGTTACGCATTATATAAAATGACAGTCTATATCTATAATAAAGAATTAAAACTAACTAAAAAGGAATTCTCAAGATGTTTAAAGAACAATCTAACTTTATGAAAAACTCAGTGGTTACTCAGTCGTTAGTCCTTCCTGCAAGGATACATAAGTGACGTAATATCTCAAAAATTTTACTGTTTAAAAATATTTACTGGAACACATACAAAAAATATAGACAATACAGGAAAATCAAAGGAAATAGAGGAAATAGAGATCAACCCTTCCAAAATCTTACTTCAAGAACTTACAGGCATCTTTATAAGAACCCTTTCTCTCTTGAAGAATCCCATCAAATTTAACATTATTAATAACAAGACAAATTCCTCTCTGTGGCCCATCCATTTTGTAAGTTGACACCTGTAAAAAGCATAAGAAAAACAGCTTACAGCTTCAGAGAACTTATTCAGCACGGATGTGTGATCTCTAGAAATCATATTTCCTTAACATGTTTAAAAACTGGCAACCAGAACACCAGAGGTGCCCAAGACTCCAGGATATTTCCAACAAAGTGGAACTCATAATGCCTCCTTGTGTGAAGTGGCATGGATGAAGTCTCAAGCACACTATCACCAAACCATCAAAGTGCAGAAGAAGGGTTTAACAACTGAGTTGGTGATCTGTATGCAATCTGAATTGGCGTTAGGGTTAGCAGTATTTCACTGTCAGGAAAAGATTATAACTTTAAGTGTCAGAGGGCTTACCCTCAATCTTGACAATGTCAGACACCTCATTTCATTCTGTGAGGACTGTTGAGTGCCTACTGGTGGTTTTGGAAAGGGATGCAATGAGAACAGAGATCTCACACAGGAACAAACCTGCCACACTAGCAGTTTCACTGAGACTTAAAAATTACCACCCTCTTAAGAAAAAATGCTTTAAAAATTGAGAAGTCACCAAAACTTCAAATATTATCCCTAATTTTAACCTCAGGTAAAAATTAGAGTTCCACCATTCCTGTTCCTCTCTGCTAGCTGGAAAGAACAATAAAAAACACCCGATTTTGTGCATTATAGTTGAAGGAAATCAAGACATCACCCCAAAACCTCTTTCAAGAGTAGCAGACAGTGTTTGCTTGAGCATTCTGAACATCAGTTGATAGCACAGAACTTCGAGAAATTAAAAAGGCATAAACAAATGCAGCAACATGCTCTCTCAATATCCGTGCTTATCACAAGGAAAAAGACATGGGGGGAATTAATGGTTACACTGCTGTGCAAGCTTAAAGAACACATACAAGACTTGTAAAAAGGTACCTCACAGAAGGCACGTTTTCCCCTGAACCAAGACGCCTGGTGCATTACACGCCCATGATTACTGAACACACTTGCCTTTCCTTCTCTTACCCTTCTTCCATAGTGGGTAGAGTGTGAAGGCAATATTATTAATTTCATGGCACCCTGAAGCTTTTTCTAAGCCACATCCAGAGAGGGAGAGAACTGTGAAGGTATGTTTGCCTCTGCTTCTACCTGCACATTCTGCTGCCATCTCCAAAATTTGCAACTCAAGATTATGCCAGATGATTTGCCTCTATCAGGGAGATAACAATGTGTGTATAGCACCAAAGGCAATATGCCTGTTTTGCCTCACTATGTCTTTCAATATGGTGAAGTTCCTGACCTCCAAGGTTAGAATACCCTCCAAAATATTCTGGATTATCAGACTGCTCAACCACCTTCACGAGACACAGAAAAATCTCACATGCTGTTGCATGCCAGTGCAGGGATAGAGACCTTACATACCTACATATTCACAAATAATCATTTAAGAGATTATCTCAAACCTTGGATTCATTTTCTACACCACTGAATCCTCCAGACAGCTGCAGGTTTGTTTCAGAGAAGACTTGTGTAAGATTAGGCACTCTGTTATCTAGGAAAAAACAGCATAAATATTTGTGAGGATTAATCTAGTATTGGTGTATGTAGCAAAAAGGAGTTTAGCTACAGTACAGCCCTTCTTATATTTAAAATGGCTATACATTGAAAGGAATAATTCTTTCCATGTGAGATAGCTACTATCACTTACATGGCACAACATGCCTGAACATGTCTCCAGTTATTTTAAGTATTTTCATGCCTAAGGCAAGGCTTCTGCTTGCGCTGGTTTTAGGGAACAAAGACATTTGTGGTACAATGATAGAGTCTACCTGCAACAGCCAAATTAATTTTTCAACTGGAAATATTTAGAAATAAACTGCACTGTAAGAAGAATCTGTGACTTACTAGTGAAGCTTCCATTACATAATACTTTCAGTTCCTGAGTGATTCACAATAGCTCTGAGACAAAACTTTCAAACAGTATTCAAAGAAGTTCAAAGTGGAAAACCACAGGTTATACTGCGATACTTTTTAACAGGCCAATATGTAGTGGAGTCTCAAAGATAGCTGTATACATACCAGCCACTGTTATTTGCACATAATCCTTTAGAGATCTGATCCAAATTGTAATTTATTGCCATATAGTCAATGAATATACAGATGTTATAATTAAGAAATATACAAGAGAGTTTGGCTAAGCAGGTTATTACACCAAAAAAGAATAGATGAAGGGCTTACCCTCGTCCTGGGCTCGCTGGAAAACTCCAAAAGGAGGGACCTCCAGAAGGAGATCCTTCCCCACTGGTAGTCAGCTCTTATATGGGGTCTAGAAGAGATGGAGCCAAGCTCCACCCCTTCCGGCAGCACAGGTGAATTGCCTTCACCTGTGCTCCCAGGACTGACTCAGCACTCATCTCAGGTGATCAATCAGAGGTTCAGGCTGTGATTCAGCAGTTCCCATACAACTGTTAATTTATTTATGTTTCCTTCTGAACCTGAAACTCTCCCCTCCTTCTCATGTCTATCTCAGGCTACTCAATGCATTCAAAACATCCATTTCCACTATATAACACCTGGTGACTTCCTCGACTGGTAATCTTTCTAACTTCACTTTTCCAGGAAGCCGTAGAAGATGTGCAAACATTAACTGTACACGTTATGCTCTCTCTAGTGTATAAAGGTGCCAGGAACTAAACCAATTTTTGCCTGTTTGCTTATTTCTGTTCTCAGACCTTTTATTTTCTGCCATTTTAACAGCTGTTCAGCAAATGTCTGAGAAGAACTGGCATTCCAGAACTGGACTGGAGAGACAAAGTCAGCGCATCTTCTCATTTCCTCTATAAGGATCCCAGAGGTATGGCAGAAAGGGCTACAAGAATTGGTGTGGTCCTTTTAAATAACACATTAAATTTCAGGCAGCACAGAATAAAAATTGCTTAACAATTAAACACTAAGAGAATACAATCCTTGCCTGCCAGGTACAGAGCTCACATTTCCAGCAGATTCCCATGGGCTCCCAGGTTCTTCAACATAATGATCTATATAGCAAAAGAAGTCTGAGCTAAAGTCTCACACACGGTTTTATAAACAGTCACAGAGATCTATTCCTTCCAGGCATATTTAAATGGAGCACTTGTTTTTTCTTCTCAAGAAGAACAAACTATCTTTTTACTACTAATCTTTATTCCACTTCCAAAAGAAAAACAAACTATGCTAGTTAGTTTCTAGTGAATGACTAACAAAATGCATGGGATTTGCCAATTTTCTCCCATTTACATAAGAGCGGAAATCCTTCAAATCTTTTTGAGTAGAAAGCAAAAGTCCCTTACAGGTAGGACAGCAAGGTAAGTGTGTTGCATTAAACCAAATGCTAGAAATTTACTACAGTAAATAATCATATGCAATATTAAACATAAAAGTAACAAACTGAGTGTATTTTTGGAAAGTCTTACCACGGATATTGGAACTGACAAATTTGATTGAGGTCTCCTATTTTTTGAGTGGAGGAAGGAACATGTTAAAATTATAAAATTATACACACACCTCATAGTGGTTTTAGCAAAACAGGCTTAATAAACACCAAAGCTTTCTAAGTAGCAGATAACAAGGTAACGAAAATACCAAATTCCTAAGAGCAGGAAGCATAATGAAACTACAAAAGACTTTTTCACTTACTGCAAATGTCACGGAACTGCAAACAAACATTTTTTCATACAAGTAAAAGAAACAGCAATTTTTTTCTTTTCAGTTTCAAATTATCTTTCAGTATAGGGGTGGGCAATCACTAAAAACAAAGAAAGTAGTCTGACACTGCCCCCTATGAATTCTCTTGGATAGTATAATTTCTTTTTTCTATCTATGTTTTTGTACTCTGACATTAATTTTCTTACCATGCCAAATGTCATGCATGAAAGCAGAGCAAAGCTCAAAGCTGCAGTAATGCAAGCCCTTTTGATACTGAATAGCACATTTTCCTCAGCTCTTGTCTACCACGACTGCACTTCTTGGGAAGTATCATCAAAAAGACCATTGCTTCCCTCATTCAGAACTGGAATAAAACTCCCTCCCCTAAAAAAGAAATCTGTCATAAGCCATGCAGGTTAGGTTTCTTAATCTGCTTCATCATTCAGCTGCAGAAATGACTTAACTGAGCAAGGACTGCTACGCTGGAGAAATGGGAACACTCCTTCAGAAGCAGCCTTTTGAACCGGTTGTCAGTACACGGTGTTAATCCTTGGAGATAGATAGTTTTGTGATGATCAGACAAAACTTTAGAAGTCTGCAATTCATGTCTCATTCTCTAGAAGGCCCTCTTATACCTCTCTCTCACATTTCTCCTCCTAGTGTTATCTTTTCCTCCAATTGCACACGACCAACAGTAGTTTTTCAGTTGAAACTATTTGATGCTACATAGAGCTGTATTTCTTATATGCAGAACAAACATGCATGTCACCTTATTAAATCAAGTGGAAAGAATCAGTGAAACAGAGAGCCAACCAAGTATGGTTTCAAAGTGAAGGCAAAGAAAAAACAAACCCCAAAAACTAAAACCCTTGACCCAGACAGCATGTGTTCCAGTGTACCTGAGGGGAACTGGAAACTCTGATGCCTACAGCGTAAGATGGTGAAGATTCCTTGACTGGAAGAGCATTCTCCTGCTCAGACAGAGACACTAAGAAAAGGAAAAACAGAAAATAAGTGAGAGACATCGTGTGCGTTTTAGTTAAATCCCTATGAACCTGCACATTAGGGCAAATGCAGATCTATACTTAATGAAAGGTGCATTAAAATAAAAAACAATTTTGAAACACACAAAGGAAGCACATGGGACTGGACCCCTTGGAGGTACTGAATGCCCTCACACCTGTTTAAAACATAGCTTTGGACTTCCCAGAATTTGCTTCCCATTGTTAAAATAAGTAGTTGGAAGTAGAACCTTCTCTCCAGCATGCTTATAGTCACTCCATAGGACATTAAGAGTAGCAGTGTCACAAACTGCAGTACAACACCCCTGAGAACACCAATCACACATTCTAAAATTAAAGTTACCATGTATCAGACAAACACACATTGCCGTTCCAGCTTACTAGCAAGCAACTGCTTTGTAGATGTATACGTTTATGAATCACAGAGCGTCTTTTATAGGATAGTCATCATCAACTCAGTGCTACCCACATAGAAACTGAGGACTGTGGCATAACTATAAATGGATTTTTAGTTTCTCAGGCAGTTCGTATGTGCTGGACTGCTCTGCGTAGCCTCAAGTATTGAAACACATTCCTACTGGGGAATAATGATGTAATACAAGTTTGGGACAGTTATGCTGAACTTGCGTGTGAAGATACTGAACAAACCCAGTCTAGTAAAGCACACATAGATCTTTCAAGTTCAGTTGCCCAGACCCTCATAGAGCTTCCTGCATTTTAGCAAGTGTATTCTCTAACTCTGAATTTCTCACCATTTGCCATTCTGTAGCAGTTCACTGTTTCCAGGAGATCAGGTGAAACATTTCTAAAGACTTCCTCCAGTGTCTGCACATTGTTTTCAGTTAAAAGACCCTGTTTTTCCAATAAAATCAGCAACTCCAAAGCAGACTGATAAAGAAGACAATAAAATATATTTATTGTTCTTTAGAACTTAAAACCATTTGTTTCAGCCCTGTCTGTCTCAAATAATCCCACGATCACCTGCTTTGCCTCCTATCAATAAAATCCAAACAGTCAATTTTACATCACAGGGAGAGGGAGCTTCCTCCTTGCTCACCCTATGAACATTGACCAGCTTAGTCACACAGCATCTTTTCTGCCAAAGACTTCTCACACTTCTCCCATTTCACTCCCACTCCGATCTTCTTCCCTCCCCGCCATAGGCATATTTGCCACTCTCCCCACATACAATAGTTCTGTGTCGCTTTGGAAGATGGTTTCTCAGGAAGAATACAATTTCCTGCAACATCTCATTGGTAATGTTCTCTGACAATTCATACAGCATCTGCCTGTAAGAGAGACTCAGTGAGACAAAGGTAGAACAGAGAGTGGAGAAAGCTAAAAGCAATACAAGAAATTAAAGGAAAGGGAAACAGAAAGTTATAGATGGCAGATAGCAGAATCTCGTTTCATACTTACCTGTACACAGACACTTTTCCCTTCTCACGCAGACATGCTTGCACTTTCTCCTTGGTATAGCCCAGGAGACTGAGCAGGGAGTGGTATTTAATTCTGTATAACAGTTCAGCTAGCAGGAAAGTATCTTTCTCATTCAGATAATCTTCATCCATAAGAAGCTGAAAAATGTCCATTGCTGACTGCACGCTTTCCAGTTTTCTGAAGGGGATCAAGTCAGTACAGAGAAATTTTAATGCTGCTACATCCTCAGCCCCCAGTTTTTCATCAATGAGCAGGAGCAGCTGACGAAACTGCAAGCTGTCAACATCCTCCATGTTGTTGGCACTGATGATCTCTGCCTAAAAGTCAAATTAAATGTTGGTAACAGTCAAATCTCCAGCAATCCTCATAACTATAAATAATAATAAGATATAATCCAAGGAGGTTTGAAAGACTTGAATTCTGTGCAAAAGAGAAGTTTCCTTTTAAACCAATCCGAAACATACTTTCTTCTCCAAGTGCAAAACAACAAAGGATAAATTTGGCAGTGTACAATCAACAAATATACAATTAGCAGAGTGGCATGATAAGGCTGGTATTGTATAGATCATATAACTAGAAGGATTATCATGGTGGAAAGAGACAATCTAAAACAAAAGAAAGGCTCACACATATCTTACGCTTGCAGAAAAACTCCAAAGGGAGCAACCTCCAGAAAGAGACCCTTCCCCAGTGGGGGTCAGCCCTTAAATGGGGTCTAGGAGAGGTGGAGCCAGGCTGCATCCCTTTCTGTCACACTGCTGAATTGCCTTCACCTGTGCGCCCAGGGCTGGCTCAGCGCTTGCCTCAGCTGATCAATCAGAGGCTCAGACTGTGATTCAACAGTTCCCATACAGGCAGGTGTTCTATACAACCCTGTCTAACTTTGATATCAGCCCTGTGCTGATCAGAAATCTGTGCTTGATGACCTCAAGAGATCCCTTCCAACCTAAATTCTTTTATTTCTTTGTATCATCTTTAACGTTCAGAGCTTCACTTCTTCACACTGTTGGTGGGTGGGAAGAGTCCCTTTGTAACTCTCAGTGGGGAGAATGTAGCAAAATCATTTATTCCTTTATCTTCTACTAAACTCTTTTGCATTTAGTGCAGGAAAGCCTCTGTGCAAGCAAATTAATCCTACTGAAGTTTCCAATAGAGAGCAATTATCCTTTTATGCACTAGCTTCTTCAGTGTAGCTTATGCAGTTATTATTTGCCTGTGCAATGCTTTATAGGGACGCTTACTTAAGAAAGAGCTTTAGTGCCTTCCTTCAGGCACTTCCTTCAGACAGGCAGGTAGGTATGTTCTTAGTCTTTTGTTCAGGGCAGTTGGGATGAGCAAAGCTTTCTACATAAGAGAGCACCTAGGAGAAAAAAAAAAAAAAAAAAAAAAAAAAGCCAGGGAAGCAGAGCAAACAAAGAAGCATTATCTACATTTCAAGTAAGAGAGCTGACAAGTTCCAGGAGTCCTGCACTCTCTTCTGTCCCTTTGTCATGAGTGAAAAACCACATGAAAACACACTAGCCCTCAGATCACTTTTTCCTGTATTCAAAATGTAATAGCTCGTTAACTATTGTTTACAATCTCTCCTCAATTTGAACTCCATGTTGTGAAACTTTCTTCATTTAAGAAACCAGTTACTATCAAAAAGGTCTGGAATCAATTCAAATCAGTTTAGCCAAGCTACTTCTAAACCTTGTTCTTGCTTTAATCAAGTAAATTTAGCAGAATAACTTAGGTTAAATTGATTCCTGCCTATGCCAGTAAGCCCATATAAACCAGGTTCAAACTGAATAGTGACTATCTGTAATTTGGAGCCGATTATTTGAATTAAATCTGATAATAAATCATAGCTTTAGGAGAAGAGGGTCGTGCATAGCCTAAGCATACATAATTGTTTCATCAGCAAATCGAACTGAAGCAAGACCCAGAACAGATTCCTTCATCTACCCTTAAAACAGTTTTCAAGTCGTGCTGCTGCCGCTCCTGGAATGCCCTTCACTCCAAACACTTTCTGCTTGAGTTCAGAATATCCTCACAGCCACCAAACCTGTGCTGAATTTACCAGTTGTCCTGAAGTCTTTTTCCGCCCACAGTAAGGCCCAGCCCTCCCTCCTAGCAACGCTGGGAGAGGAGACACCACCACTTCGTTGCTTGAAATCCCCCGCTCGGTTTACAGCTATGGTATTTCTGGAGCCCTCTAGCACTTACGCATTTTATAAGCGACACTCGATGGCCAGGACCTCCTCACCCCCCAGGTCTGCCACGGCTCACGGCTAGGCCAGCAGGGCACTAACAAGCACAAACCGACGCACGCAGAAAGGTGGTGGAACTGCCGCTCCAATCTACGTTTTGCATAATATCCATAGGGAAGGAAAATCACATAAAATAAGCGATGAAGATTATCAAATTACTTTTTCCTCTAACGTTTCACAGAACGGAACAATGCCTAACAACGATTTTAAAAGAAGGCAAAACCACGAACGCAGAAGAACGGCAAAGCTCAGCCCGCGGCCCCGCAAACAACGGAATCAACTGGCCGCCGGGGGCAGCGGCGCAACGTGGGAAGGAGGCGCGTTCTTTTGTTCCCCTTCGGTCCCAGACCCTCCTTTCTTACCTTCGAAAGAAATCCGCGCCCGCCTCCGCTCCCGCCGGCCGCTGTGCGCGTGGTGCGCCGCGCTGCCTGCTCTGCGCCCCGCCACCAGGCGCGGCCCCACGTGCTGAGTCACAGCGCCGGCGCCACCCTGCAGGAGGGGCGGAATTCCCAGGAACGGGACTGCAAAGCGGGACAAAGCCGACAGATGGAAGCCCCTAGGGACGCGCCTCCCAGCGCGACGAGCTGCTAATGGGCGGCTCTGCTCCGCGGGGTTCGGCCGAGCGCCGGGCCGCCCTTTCTCCTCCCCGCAGGGTGCGGAGTCACGCGGGCAGCGCCCTCCGCCCGGTGCCGCGCCACAGTCGGCCTCGGGACTTTTGGAACTCCCCGCCCTTGCCCCAGCCCAGGAATTTCGCTAAATAATCTGGAAAAAAAATATGGGGACTCTTGCAAGGCGGAGCGTAAGAAGCGAGAGGTAACTCTTCTACTACTTTCACTTTCGGTATCAAGCCCCATTTAAAGCACTTTACATTAAAAAAAAGGAAAAGAAAAAGAAAAAAAAAAAGCAAAGGCCGAGTTTATCACACTCGTGCAGCTTGAGATCAGTGCTTGTGGGAGACGCCTTCAATGGAGCTTTCACGCACGGCCGTCCTTCCGGCCCTTTTCTGCGCCCTGCCCAACGCAGCCTCATACGTAACGCAGTGCCAACTCCACGCCTCCGGGATGAGCCCTTCGCGCACGTACTGCTGCCCAGCACACAGCCACGGGGTGAATTCTCTGTGAAACGAGCAGGTTCTCTGACCGTCATGCTCTCATTTCGCTTTTACAGAACCGTGGTAACTCCACAGCCACCTTTAGCAAGCACTAAAGAGATCCACCGGCCAACAGTTCCAAGGGGTACTCTGTGCTGAAGGGAGACCGACAAAGCTCATGCATTTTACTAATGACATTAGCTGAAATCACATTTATTTTGACATTATTTATATAAGTTAAAAACTGAAAATACATTCTCAGAGTGACGCAAATGAAAAAATAATGCACACAAAGACGCACAATCCTGAAAATGCCCAGAAACACTTTCAACTTCTTTTTGACTAACACAGAAACTGAGAAAACATCCTTCAGTAATAGCTACAGAGCTGTCAAATAATTTAGACAGAAGATACAGTTTAAGTGGAACATAATCACATACACAGCAGACAGGCTGCACATCATCCGCCACAGCCAGCATCTTCTCAGCAACATCGTGCTGCGTGTCAGAAATTAAAAGCCGTGCGTATCACAAAAACATTCTCAGGAAGCATCATGTAAAGATTCTCTGACTCAACCATACGTAACGGGAGTCACTGTTATTTCTTCAACTACAGAGTTGAAGAGGTATCAGACAGAGTAGGGCATCAACTGCGAGCACTGTAAAGTTCCTCTTCAATGCAACTTCTGAATCATGAGCTGGCACTGATTGTAATTCAGGACACAAATAGATAACGGTATAAAGTAAACTAGATTTAAGGTAAACTAGATTTAAAGCTCAGAAAAATCATGCTAATTAAGACTGGAGTAAAACACCAAAGAATCTCCTGCTGCAGGGTTACATCTTCTGAGCCAATGGGAAAGCATCATCTACATTTGACAATTCTTTTCCCCATTCCATATTTACAACACATACAGAAGTACACTACATTTGTTTTTCAGCTCTCAGAAACCAGAACTGAAGCTATGCCATGGAGCCATGAGTCCAACAGCCTTGCTCTGAGCAGGAACAATGCAGAAGCAGGAGGTACAGCTTGCATATCCTTGTTCAACAGCAGGTTCAGAAAACTATATGTTTTGGCAGCCCATTAAACTCTACCAGCACCTGCCACTTTCTATGGTCCTATGTTAACACAGTTATGATGGATCCAGAATTGTACTCCCTCTTTTCTCCTAGCTGCTGAATGGAATTCAGCTAGACCATGTCAAACGCATGTAGGGCTTGATCCCAGCATTCAATTTCCAGACCCAAATTTTAGATGGACAATGCAGCAAGAATAAGTAGTCCCTACCACATACATGGAGGGACACAAAAATCTACTGGAGAGGTTACAGACAACTTCTGCCACTGCAAAATTCCTGCACATCAGTCCAGGAAATCAAACTCTTGACTCCTGAAGGAGAAGCAAAAGCAATAAATGCTGCTTAGATGAATGACTCCAGAATGAGTACTAGTGTCAGTTAAGAATCTGCAGAGGGTCAAGGCTTCAGGGTAGAAATCCAGTATCTGATGCCCATGAATGCTGCTCCACACAGGACATGTCCCCCCAAACACCCTGGTCATTAGAGGACTGCGATCAATTCTGATCTAAGCAGCCAAACACAAAGCAACTCCTTTCCTTTCTTTACTACAAGGGTTATTTACAGGCATCTTCACTGTTTTCAAAACAGTGCTTCTTCCTTTATTTCCTAAGGGAATACAGATTACACTACAGCACAGAATACACCTCAACCTTCAACACAAACCCATGTCACAAACTCGTAAGAAACAGAATATATCCTATTGCTAACATTCTACTAAATAGTTGGACTTAGCATCACTCAAAAAAAAGTTTTCAGATCTCTTAATAATATCCACTGTTATTCTTACTTCCTATCTTTTCTCCTTCCTCCTTCCGATATTGATGTTGTACATCTCCACATCTTCTTTTCCTTATGTGTTCTTCTCTTGGTTCTTCCCTACCACTTCCCTTTTCATTTCTGCTTGAATTTTCACTATTTCTTTCCCTCATCTCTCTGCCCTCTCTTGGTTCCATTTTCCCTGCATTTGGTGTCTATATGGCAGCAGAAGTACTCATCACATGTAAAAGCTAGTAAGGAAAATGGGAGAATGATTAAGTTAATTTGTGAAGGAATGGCATTTATTAAGATCACATATTTATATAGGCAATTATGAATCAAACCTGATTTACACAGCCACAGAAGAGTCTATATTTTTTGCCACACCATTTGCTTCCCTTACCAGTCGCAATAGGAACTAGTAAGACTCCAAATTTGTCATTTTATAATCCTTCTCTCACCCTATGGAAGGAACATCAGCAAGGTGGAAGTTCAAAATTACACTTGTGCTATATTTTATTATAAGCTAGTCAGTTATGAAATGTTCAGAGTCAAAAGTGAAGGCTATTTTTATTAACCATCACATACAACATAGATCCTTCTGTTAATGCAAAACTCTGAAGCTTTCTACTTTTGTGTGTGAAATACATCAGATCATATTTTTAAAGACATTATCTATCATTAAAGACAGAAGCAATACGCAATTAGTGTATGAAAAGAGCCAGTTTGACAGGCCCTTTCTTATAATGTAGAAACTGAAAGGAAGAATTGACCTTCCCACTCAAAAGTATAAATGTATTTATTTCCAGACCTACAGCATAATGAAATTCAATTTAGTATTTTTTACATTAATGCTTACTGAGAACAAGTTGCTACTATCTTTGTCTTCCTATACCTGGACCTACATAAAATTACAGTAACACTGACAATACACACACCCCTAATTTAAGATACAATTAGGAGTCACATTTTTCAATTCAAAGCTATTAGAAAAAGTTTTCATTTTTTTTTTAAAGGGAAACTACCTTATTAAGTGAAAAGACAGATGTTATACATAGGTCTGTAATGTAGCAAAATATTTTTCTAATTTGTGCAAACATTCTTCATCACAATTATGCATTTCATTTTCTACAGTTAACACAAAAAAGATACAAAAACAAATTTTTAAAATTTACAAAATTAAAAAGGCATAACTGAAGACTTCAGTTAATGATATAAAATGTACTTTATATATATTACATAAAATTGTATATTAATATAAATAAATAGATATTGTGATCTTAACATCACATATAGATAGCTAAGGAAAGACTGTAAGGCAAAACCTGTTCAGTGGATTTCTCCTCAATCAGCAGTTTAGGAACCTCTCAAGCCAGGAAGAAACTGGACCTATACCACGTAACAAGGAAGGACTTCCGTGAGCTTAATGGAGTTAGACATCTGCTACACCAGATAAACGTGACTTTACTTACAATTATAGAAGCTACTTGAAAACTCATTTGCTATTTATCTGAGTTAATATATAAAAAGATTGTTTTACAAGAAAAAATAAAACTTGGGGTTACCAAAAACAATGTCAATCCAACATCTAGAAGTACAACATAATACTGAGGAATGAAAAAGCATTTTTTCCTGATCAGCAAACTATAGCAGTATTAAAAGTTTGCAAGTAGACTATATAAGGAGGGAAGAGAACACAATAAACTCATTAAATTTCAATACAAGTCCTCCAGATTATACTGTTACATAACAAGCAGGTCAGCTGAACTTTCTATGTTAGTTATATGTTGTATTGGAGGGGGAAAAAAGCTACAACTTTCACTACTGCCTTTTCTTGACAGATTAGAGAAACTTAAAACAAAACAAAACCAAACCAGTTAGTAAACTGATAAACCTTTTTCATATTCAAAAGAGGTATGTGTGGGAAGGTGTTGGATTAATTTTATTTGGTCTTAAGAAGCAGTGGTTGCTACATTTTGGTGCAAATGTGTTAAACAGCATACTTATACTTTGCCTGGTACCACACAGTGAAGTGCATTTCAGCATCCCTGAAACACCTGCCAAAATCCCACTATTTATTTATAATTTGCACAGACTGCTACAAAGCGCTGCCACACGTAGTCATTTTTCATCAGTGGTGAACACAGCACAAAACATGCCAGACTGCCTGATTTATTAGCATACAATCCTGGTGTGCTATGGATAGTACTGACAGTACGAGTTCTGGGTGAATTAGAACTTCCAATATACAAGGCAGATGGAATCAAAATTATTTAAAAAGACCATCCCTCTCTTGCTTCTGTTTTGTTTAATTCTGTGGAGGTATGCTGAGTAAGCATCTTCTCCTGACATGTTTTAAGTGATGAGAAAGTACTCGGTGAATTTTAATGGTTTACATACTAGATTTCAATGATTTGTGCTGGCCTGTCTTTTTTTTTAAGCAGCAAAAGAAAAGCCTAGTTCAATGCATTCACATCAAGATCACTAAAATACAAACAACCAATCAAAAAAAAAAAAAAAGCACAGAACCCTGGAAAATCCAACAACCATACAGTTTAGAATTCTTTCCCCACTGTTTACCTGTTGCACTTGCTTGTAAGATCTGTTGCCGTTCTGTACAACAGCTGCTGTTACCATCCAGGCTTTCAGTCTTTCATATTAAAATCTATAGTGCCTAAACAACCTAAAATGCTTCTAAATACCTGTGTTTGGAAGCAATAGGCACATGTGCAGTAATAAAGTCTAAGTAAAAGCGTGGTTGAAACCGAGTCAGAGGAAGCACTCTTCAGCTACTTCAGACATGTCCTTTCCAATAGCAGTTAACTGGGAGAAAGAAAAAGTTTTTTCCTCAGTGTGTGCTGGAGCAGAAGTGAGTATTGCTGGCTTGGGTCAGTTGTCTGATTCCAATCATAGACTCTTTTGTTCAGTTCCGTATGGATATCTAATATAGAGAGCTTCCTGCAGCAACAGAAGTAAAAGATTTTTATTAGACAAAGAAGGAAGACACTATTTAACAATCCACAGATGGAAGATAACTGTAGGCTCAGCGAGGAGAAAGTTTCAAATTTCAGCCTTTATTGCAGAAGTTATGTCTTTAAAACCCAAAGCTGAATATGCATTCTGTAAATTCATTACATCCCAAATCACTGTCATGATATTGATTTTAACAAAATGATCAGTGCTTTCTTTGCAAGATTTCAGGGTTTGTGAAAACTACTAAATATGAACCCACAAGTACACTGAAAAATGCTTGCTAGCTCTTGTAGATCAGCTGTACAATGAAAATCTTTGCTGGTAAATTTATATATGCAAACATTTGATTTTTGCTTAGATCTCTTTTGATAATCTCTTTGGACGGACAAACATCTTTGATAGTTTTCCTTCAACATCATAAATTGGAAAAACTCATGGCTTCCTGAAGAGTGGGTGAATTATACCTAAATGAAGAACAAAATCCTTCCCTCTCAATTGACTTTTTCCCTGAGTAAACTCAGGCACTGGCATTTTATTTGCAAGCAAGGCCTTTCTTAATAATTTAAGAGGCAATCTTCAATTTGACAAGAAGCCAGGTGTGCACTTCATAAGCTGAAGAAGAACAATTTCAAGTCCTGTCTAAAGCCCTCAACTTTGTAGCACTAATATACATTACACCCAGATGCTTCCTTTTTTAATCTACAAATCCCAGTGCCATAACACACTTATCTTACCCTCTAGAATCTGAAGCTTCACTTTCACTCTAGACTGCATTCCTGTGACATTGTTCCAGGACCACATACACTTGTATTTTAACTTACAACATAGCATGAAGGCACTTCTCAGGACCAGAAAGGATGAAATCTAGCAGAACTCTTTCTCTAAGACTGTAAGTTATCCTAGAAAAATGGTTCATCTTTCCTGATTTTCATTCACCTTTTATGAGGATTGCGGAGCAGCTCAGCCAGACAACGCAGATAATACGAGGATGGGACCGGAGATTTTTCTAGTGTAGACACATCCACCTTGCACTGACTCCAAAAGACATCTGCTACCTGGGGAATAGTGTCTTTCAAGGGCATTTTTGCATTAGAGATGATTTTCTTATCATTTCCATCTATTTCCAGACTAGTAAATTCTTGCTCATCTTCTGGCACGATGTAGCTCTGAATAAAGAAAAGCTTTGGTTTTCCTCGGAGTTCAGGACACGAATCTGCCATAAAGTATTTCTTTATTTGCTCCAAAGGGAATCCAGTAGAGATGGGGTCTGTGCAGAAGATGCTCTGAGCATTTCCACGGCTGACCAATACGCATATGAAGCTGTCACAACTCCTGTGCTTCTGTAACCTTGCAACTTCAAGCAATGTTTCATTCATGGTAGTCATATTTAAGTGCTTGTGACAATGAACATCATAGTCCAAGCCTCTGAAAGTCTCTTCCAACATGTCTGAAGAAAGAAAGATGTAATTAAGTCACAATACCTCAGTCTGTCTTTAAGGGTTACAGAATTTATAATATTTCCTTACAAGAAATAGGGTGTTTATCTCATCACACTAATTAAAAAAATCAGGAGTACTCGGTATTGATCAAACAGTACATGGCATACATCCTATGTGTATACTGTCTTTCAACATGATTTATGCACTTCTGACAAAGGCATTATTTTGTAGCATGCAATTTTTTCCTAATTTCACAGACTTCAGCGTGCTTTCATTTAGAACCAGGATCCCAAGTTTCCAGGACTTAAAACATGAGGCAAGAGGGCATTAAAAAAAATGCTTCACAGAGAAGATTCTTGATATGAAAAGGAATGTGCTGGGAAGTCTGTTTCAACTATTTAACTTTTCAAAATTACTCTGAATGTTTATTAGAGAAGTATATAATCCAGAGACTTGCTTTCACTAGTTAAAAGTCAATCTACCGCATTTATGCTTACTATTATACAAAATTACTTAAAAATTACTTAAAAATTACTTAAAAGTGATAAGCTCCAGGTAGAGAACTGTGGCAAGCCAGAGGACAAAATGGCGTTTTCAGAAATAAAATGCTGAACAATATCCTAAAAGTTAAAACTGTAGACAGCCTATACATATCTGTTACCTGTATTAACTTTAGCTGCAGGAAAGCATGCTATGTTCTGAAAAAGTTGGGATGTTTATTAGTATAGAAGTGAAACCAGATCCATGTTGGTTAAGTTCACATGTATTTAAGCATTCAGAGAACCAGCTTATTATTACTACAAATTATAACTGTAGCATTGTACCCTTGGTAGAAATAATGTATACATTGCCCACATGCAGTATCTAATAACTGTGACAGAAGATAACAAGTACCACTTCAGTATAAAACGCCTTACAGTCCCAAGAAGCTAGGCTGTCCCCTGACTTCAGAAATTTAACAATTCCTAATTAGCAAAGGCCAATTAGCAAAAGCTAATTTCAGAGGTAACCAGCAGCAAAGCAGGAGTTTCACTAGCCTCACCTAAAAAAGCACATAGTGAAAACAGATTTAATCAATTTAATCAACAAAACACAGGGTAGAAATACACTCTGCACTATAGCGAGGTGATGAACAGGAGCCACATATAGGGTTCTGTTCCAGTCCACTTTGTTTGATTAAATTTTGTACAATATTTCAAATACTCAAGACTTGCTTGTTTGTAAGTAGAAAGCAAAGTAGTCTTTATTTTAGACAATAAAATATGCTCTGAAAATTCAAGGTGGAAGACATGAACAATTCAAAAGGTGCTTTTACGCAGGAGTAGCTCAGCACCATTCAGAAGTCATATACTTGATGAAGCACTTCATCCATTAGAGGGCAGTAGTGCCTATGCAAAATTACAGTTACAGCAACAGGAGAGCTCTTAGAATTTCTTCATCTCACTAGCATGTGTGTAAACAAAGATACAAAACTTGGTAGCACCTTAGATCATACACACAAATTAAGTGTCACGATTAAAAATAATAAACCCAAACTATTGGAGCTGATACTATTGCTTAAAAATGAATCAGAACTTACACATGGCAAGTTTGAGATACAGCATTTTCACTTTGAGGCAAGATAAAACAAGAGATTACATGCAGCATCCTAGAGCAGCAATAATTCCTCAACAAACCACCACTTCCTCTGTTTACAACACAAGAATAAATCCTGACTTTCAAATGGAAATGAAAAAGTTAAGAGCAGCCAATCACTGCTTGAATAACAACAAAAGCAACTTCAGTTTGAACTTTATCACCATCTGATGAATCCACACTGTTTGTACCGAGCATTTTTAATCATTGTGATACTTGATCTTGCAGCATTTATCACTGATTCAGCTTCCTCATATTAAATGTTGGGATAGCTGCAGACTCAAATGCATGCCACAGATGTAATTCCTAACTTCTTCCTTGTCTTTTTCTCTCTCTTTGGTATCTTCAGACTTCACAAGTCTGTCGGCACGAGAACTCTCAAGTAGTCAACACATTTCTAAAACATTCCCTGAAATAGTGTCATATGCCCTGCACCTCTCCTAAACAGTAATCTACATCAGTGCAAGTCTTGCTTTCTATCATGTTAAAATGCTTGTTTTAATGCTGATAACATTAGAAATCTGAGGCATAAACATGGCTTAATTCCTTCTGTGTGCTATACAGATGAATGGAGACAGAGGCACACTAAGACTTGCTTTGGGTACTTTTGGCACAACAGCAGAAAATCCATAATTTGCGGGTAAATCTGCTGAAAACATAATCCATTTGTGTTCTTTCAAATGAGCAGGATTTTCTTATTCATATTTCCTGTTCTTGTGCAAATACTGAAGTGCTTACATGAGCACAAGAACAGCACATCGTAAGTTTTGTGCATATATTTGTATTTCACTGTAATATTAAGGGGGTCTACACTGCCAGTAAAAAAGATCTGTGCCTTCAAATGATGAGTAAATGTAAATTTATGCACCTCTGATTGTGAACTGACATAGTAGTTCCTTCTTTATTACCGGTTTTCTGAAGTATACGTGCCTTCCATCAAAGTCTGTTCACTAAAGCTACCGTAAAAGAGAGAAGAAAGCAGAAATGAAGAAGTAGGCCTCCTCACAGAGCAGAATTTACTTATTTGTTTATTTAAATTCTCAAAAGCCCTTGCCCTGACCCTGTCCTTCCCATCTTGGCAGGCTCTGTTTTCTTGGGGCAAAGTTGGCATAACACTTTTTGAGTAGAAATGATGTACATTAGATCAAAGAACTTAGTTTCTATACACAGTAATTGCATTTTTGGGGGCTTTTTAAAATTTATTTAATTTTGCTACAAAAGTAGTTCATAAATTTTCTGCCTATCCCAGCAAGACAGATTCCAAAGGATGTTTTCCAGTCGCATGTGAGTTCAGTGTTTTCCCTGTCCTTCATCCACACCTGGCAGGATCCTGAATTAGTTTTAGTTTCTTGTACCCAAGTGGCAAACTGCATTGTTTTATACTATTTACCTAAAATATTATCAAGCAGACAGCAAGGTTTTACTTTGTGTCTGTGCTCTGCACTCACTTCTCTTCACTAACTGCATCAGTAATTGATCTGTCTGCTAATGGTCCCTATAAGAAAGAAAAAAGATATCTCACTGATCTTCTCCTTTATCTCCCAGCCTAATAAAAATTGGCTGCAAACATCCCATTTTAATTTTAGCCCATATGTTCCAGTGATTTTTTCTTGGGTGATAGGAAGGGTGGGATTGTTTTTTTTCCTCTGGGTTTGTTTTTTTTTGCTTACGTAAAGACTGTATTTTTGGATTCTTATTTTTGATGAGGGGATCAGAAAAATTCACATTTTAACCACAGGACTTGTTACTTTGAATTCTAGGTAGTATTTTTTCCTTTTACTACAACAGTTTCAGTTAAACTGCGTAACACACAACTTGGACTAGAAGTATTATTAACAAAGGACCATTTGCTTTCAGCAATTCAAAATCCGTGGTGTCCAATATTTTTACACTTCTGGTCTGTAACAGATTCATTTTTATGGAATGGTGGCAATGTTTTCTTTACCATTTCTGCCAATAATCTACTGCGCAGCTGTAGCATAAATACTCTGTTGGTCTCTCTGGATGTAATTTCCTTCCCCCTGACATCAGCCTTTCCCCTTTTAAGTTCTTTCACACAGAGCCTCAGGTTGGCCCTCCCAACTTCTTTCTTTAGACAATTAACTGTAATTGACAGAAAGCTGACTAAGACAACATGACTCTAGTTTGGTTGGAAAATATGCATCATATTCTTTATGTTCTAATCACCCGAAAAAAAAACAAAAACAAAAACAAACCAACAAGAAAAGGAGCTTTAATTTCCAGAGACTTACCCGTGTCATTACCAATACAGTCTATAATCAGGCATACTCCCAAAGGGTGACTTTGCATTCTGTACGCATGAGGAAACTGAAAGATAAATACCAAATTGTTATGTCATTCTCTTATCTTACAGACTTGATTCTTTTGTCCAGTTTAATCACTTTAGACCTTTTAATCATATTCTGTTGCTTTTCCATTGAGTGACTAGTAGAAGCATATCTTCTGGAATTCACTATGTTTTTCCTGTGTAACAAAACTTCAGGACACATGGATTCACAATTTTTTTTCCTTATTTCCTGTATGGCCTTAACTTTCATCTGCTGTTATTCTATCGTATTACATTAATGATCCGTAAACTAAGACTGGACCAGGAATGGGAGAAGGAAGTTTGAGAGTGCAGACGGGATAGAGAGGCTTTCTAAAGACCTGACCCATGTGCACAGTGATCCTGTGTTTTTTCCTGGAGTGTGACTGCTAACATGATGTTGGGAACTTTAAGTTTCACACTGTCAACGTAAGTAGATAACGTCTGTGATTTGTAGGGATGCAGTGGACTCTGCTTATCAAGACAACATTCATTTCCTCATTTAGTGCAACAGTGTAAAGCCCCTTCATCCAATAATCTGCAATGACTCTGCACAATCCCTTTAATGAGCTAAGGAACAATTTGCTATAGGCAATTCCCTATACATTTAATTTACATTAGAACTGCATAGAGCAATTCACAGAATCTATTTATTGCTGATGAAGCTATGAATGTACATACAGTTCTTGTTGCGTGCAGCTAAAGGAAGTGTTAAAACAAAACCTAAGGAAAACTAAGGCAAATATCTACTTTTTTTTTTTTTTTAAACTTACATGTATACATGCATCATAAGTGCTAAAGCACTTACCTTATGTGATGCTGGTCCCGATTCTTGAATAGACATGTGGACTGGTTCTTCTGTGGTTAAAGCATACAGAAGTAATCTCAGTGTGTAGGTATTGGTGCTATTTCTTTGACAGCAACACAGATAAAAAGAACCTATATAGTTTGGTCAAGTTCTCTCTCACCTAGTCCTCCTAGTTCCTACGTATATTACTGAAGGAGAAAATAAAAATGCTCACACTAAATATTATTTGGATTGCACTCTACATTACTTATGATTAGAAAAGGAAAACAGTACAACAATAAGCAGTAAAAACAATCTGTTCCCTACTCTGAATTCAGTCAGCTAGTCTCTTTAAAACCATCGTATTTGAGAGGTATTGCGAGTTTCCAAAAAGAATACAGCACACACAGTGAGAACCTGGTACTCACTGGAAAACTTCCTAGATGGCCTGGTGGAGGATCCACAATCAAACTGATGCAAAAACTTCCTAGTCAAGACCTAACGGGAATAGATGCACTACACTGCTCTCCAGAGCTGGATAGTTATCCTCTTTCACTATTTTATTAATATTTATTCTATTTAAAAGTTGTCTGACTGGAAGGCACCAGCAATTCCAAGAAAGTTTGAAGCTCTGGCAATACAAGCCAAACAAATAATAAGACAAGGCTCAGTTTTCAGAGGCACCAAATACTCTCTGCTCCTGTGACATTAAACAGGCTTAGCCATAAACATGGCCATCAAAAAATTGTTCTTTCAATAGATGAAATTCATGGTACAGTTCTAAACCAGCCAATCTTTAGACAGCAAATATTAGATAAAATTTTCTTACCTTGAAAGAAGATTTCTCCATTTTGTGATTTTCCTTTGTTCACATTCTGAAACTAAAATGAAGAAAAGTCTATTTTCCCTTTCTCTTTCAAAACTAGTAATCATGCTTTAAAAATACCATGTGATAATACTTCTTTTCCTCAACAAAAGGATTACATCTTTTGGATTCAAACCTATCCAACTACTTAGAATTTTTTTTTTTAATTATTGTTTTAAAAAAGAGAAAAATTCTTTCCTCCCCACAAAGTAATCAGTTTTCCAAGAACAACAAAGGAAAGCTTATTTCCTATGCTAGTAAAAGAAAAAGTCTCTCTAAAGATACAAGTATTGTTACCTATACAAAGGTAAGTAGAAACTTTCATAAAATTCAAAAGGAAGCTAAAACAATATTATCACAATATGGAAAGTCAGTACAAATTCTTTCCCATTAGTAGTTTGGAAAAGAAGCCTGTTGCTTTGTTCATAAGAGCTAATTGTGGTGTTCTGTACGTAAGCTTGATAGATATTTATTAAATACATATCAGAAAACATCTCTACGCAAGATTAAAGATTTCAAGAAAGGTCAATATTATTACAACATCAGACCTAAGTCAAACATAAACAATGTTGCACACAATAGGGTTTGACTGGAAGTAACTGAGTGGGTGACTTTTGACATATTGAGATATCTCGGTTAAAATCAGATTAAAATAAATACAAGTGAAGAAAACAGCTGAAGCAAGCCACAACTTTTTGCTTCTAAGGTTTAAAAGCTATTTTCCCTGTGTTCTGCAAAGTCCACAAATATAAGAAGAACACTGTGTTTTGCAAAAAACACTCAAAACTTTCCACTCTGCAGAATAGTAGAAGAACACTTTTAAGAGAAAGGATTTTATATTTTTCATTAATAAGAAAAAAATATATACATAAAAATCACAGGAGCTACTGAAAGGAGACCTGACTGTCAGAAAATTTCTATCAGGCCTCAGACATACTACATAACAGAAGCAAAAAATATAACCCAAACAGTATTCTTGTTACTAGCCATTTCTCACTCCTCAGGCTTTGCAAAGATGAATCCTCTTTCAATTTCTTGTAATATTTAGATATAAAGGATCTGTCTGAGTTACTATATACTTACCCCTGAATTGTAGGGAGGATCAATCAGACTGAGATTAGGGAGAGATGCCTGAAGGGCATTTACATACACAGGCTGAGAATGAACGGAGGACATGAAAGCTGGAAATTGAACAGAAACACACAGAGAAATACACTGTGATATAGGACCTGCTTGAAAAGACCAGCTCCTGGGAGCATGCTAATACTCTGACTTGTAACTTTGTCTTTAGTTAAAGACTGCATTGTATCCTTACTATCAAAACTAAGCAGTGCAAAAGCATTTTACCTTCTTGCTTATACTTCTCAATCTTCTTAATTAGGTCTATCCTGTGAATATTTCGGAAACAGTTTTCTATCAAATCCAGCTGATTTGGAGCCACCAAATTCAGTTTCTCCAGTTCAATAACCAGACGTAGAAAACTCTGTAACAGCAACAGAAAACCAAATTGTTACCATAGAATATCCTGGGTTCCTGAGTTCAATTTCTGTCTCCACACAAAACCACTTAAAAAACCCCAAACCATATTTCTGAAAGCAATGTCCAAATGCTTCATGAACTCTGGCAGCTGTTGCCATGACCACTGCCCTGGGGAGTGTGTTCCAGTGCCCACCTTCCAGTGAACAACTTTCTCCTAACACGTAGCCTGAGCCTTCATCAACACAGCTTCATGCTGTTCTCTCAAGTCCTAACATATATCAGTCATTTGTTCTTTATCACTAAAAAACAGACTTGAAATAGTATGTTCAGGTGCTTGATGTTGTATTTTCAGGAACTGGGCATGTTGTTGCTGAAACACTAAGAAGAGATTACCTGGAAAATATTAGAGGTCTTAGCATTATTATTATTATTATTATTATTATTATTATTATTATTATTATTATTATGGTGTGATAGACTTAAAAACAATTCAAAGGTTTTGAGGAAACAGCCTTGCATTTTGTTGTTACTACATAGCCAGCCACATGAAACATCACTTCATATGTCACAAAGCAGTAGATAATAAAAGCTTTAGGAAATTTGCAGGATTTCTCCCCTCCTTTGGTTAAAATTAAAAATTCAAAAGAAGCCTTCAGTGTTCTGTGTGCAGAGTGGCCAAGCTTTTTGAATCTGCGCTTTCTTTGGCACTTGGAACAAATATTCAGAATGCAAATATACAAAGAATGACATTATTAAGAAAACCCTATTATTTTGTAAATGGAAGAGCACAAACGTGAAAAGTGATCTTGTACATCAAGACGTGTTTAATACTATCAGTGGTTTGAGATCCCACAGATATGAATTTTCAGATCAGCAACACTGAAGAGAGGTTTTATTTGGTGTCTTCTGCCTGTGAGATTCACACCAATCCTGTTTTCTCCAGAAACTCTTCAGAGTTCTCTCCAACTATTTCTTTAGCTTCTTTTCTTGCATTAAAAACAAGAACATCAACAAAATAATGAAATACAAGCCACTTCTCCTTTCACACTTGACTTCTCCCTACTCCTGCCTTGCCATCCATTATGGTACAACCTCTTCTCCTTGTAGCCACCTCCCTTTTTACTTTAATCTCCTTGCTCTAGAGGAAAAGAAGAGAATAAAAGTATTACCTTATCTTTTGCCATTTTTATTCGAGGAGCAAAATCTCTGAGTAGAAAAACAAGAGAACTCACTTCTTCTTTTTCCAGATTCTCATTAATCTCCACCATTAGTACCCTGAAATAAAAGTGAGGCATTTCTAAAGGACTGGTTTTTAGCAAGATCCTACCGCTGTTCAACTACCCAATTTTTCCCACATTCCAGTCTTCACACAACATTCCCAGTTCAACAACATAAAGAAACAACAGCAACAAACACACAACTACTCTGCTCTAATCTAATTACAAAATATCTCATCATGCTTGTCAGCACCAGTATTTCTTCAGACTGACTGCTGGAGAAATAGTTTCCTTAATATTTCAGTACAGATTAAGAGAAAGAATACAAGACAGTATAACACACCTTTGACTTTTAACCTAATAGTGATAGGGTTTTTATTTCAGTGACATGTCACCACAGGAAAATCTTCCTTATGATTGTATGCACTTATTTCTGAAATCCCTTAGGGAAGATCACTCTATTCTCTTAATTTAAGCTTCTTAAAGCTAAAGAAAAAAGAGCAGTAAGGGATAGGTCACCAGAGAAAAGCTACAATGAGGCTATGTGCCCAAAGCAAGCAAGAAAAGACTATCTAATTAATGATACTTCTATAAAGCATAATTTCTATCTGCTAATATAGAACTACACAATCATCACAGTTTTAATAAATTAAGATGAACAAACTCTTTGAAGATAGATGCTTCCAATGCCATGACTGTCAAGAAGTCATTAAGGTTTATTTTAGGGATTAAACTTGACAATCTTTTCACTATAACTCTTGCATGACATTCTTTTCTGTTTTTCTTTCACTCTCAAGACAAGTTAAACAAACAATTTAAAAATTAAACAAAGAAAACATGAATTTTGAAGAAAACACAAAACATTTCTGAAATAGATACCTGTAATCAGGGACAAGTCTGGGATTCCTGCTAAGGTTAGCTTCCACTGTTGTCTTCTCAGTCTTCAAGATCCTCCTCAGCAAATCAAACCTCTTAACTCTGTACAACAGCTCAGACAAACCAAGAAGAGATAGTTTATCCCTGTCATTCAAAGCCACCAAAAGCTCTCTAAGGCCAGCAGTAGCCAAGTCAGGGGCAAGGTCTCGGCACAGGAAAATCATCATCTCATCTTCTTCTTTATCCAATTCTTCTTCAATCTGGTGAATAAGGACAGCTGGTACTTGGCACTTGGTCATCACTTTCTCGGTGTCCCTTTAAAATTGCCAGCCTTCCTTCTTTTAAACAGGAGGCCAACATGACATGAAGTCTGTATCTGCTACAGCACGTCTCTGGCCTTCAGTTGTAACTATATCCATTTCGACGTAAAGAATTCTGTGGAAGAGGAATAATAGGTTCTAAATCACAAGATCACAGCTAACTCTCCCATTTGTCATACCTCCCTTACAACTAAAATGCCAACTTAGTTTACATGGACCTCCTGTTCTGAAGGGGTTCTCCCAGATGTTCATTACAGAACAAGAAATCTTTGGTAGGTCATACTGATCAGAAAAAAAATGGAAGTTCTTTTAAAGTAAAATTACCTTAATACAAGCCTGTGAATTCCATAGGAAGTGAAACAAGAGTCATCAGCTCGCTGATAAGAAGTCTGTATTTCAAGGGTTTCTGGTAATAAGAGATTAAGTTCCACTGCAATTGAAGTCTAAAGCCCTGATCTCTTTCCAGCAACCCACCACTCAGTCTCCTGCCCAAATGTCTTAAGACATTTTAAAGGAAGCATTTTCAGATTTAAGAGATAGTGTAACCACACACCATAGACAAAACAACAAAAACAACAACAAACTAAATACAGAAACACTTATCAGGTATCCATTTCAAAGTTTAAAAAAAAAAAACAAAACAACGTAGTTATTTTTACATATTAGTTACCTTCAAATTCAGGAACGTAGATTGCCTTATTTATTAGTACCACTGTAAGTGATTCCACTGAGTTACCAGGGTTTGAAGGGTTCCTCCCCCACACTCTCCACGCTCAATAAGGTCAAAGAACCGCTCAAAAGAAAAAACTCCAACCTTCAATATGTTAACTCTGAAGGCACAGATAAGCCACAGACCACCTCTTTTTTCACGTGATACCCATACTGAAAACCGAAAGAATTCAAAACTAGAAAGAAAAAAATCCCTCACGATTAACAAAGTAACTAGGGTGCTATGATCAATTTCTGTTGCCACTATGGAAATTCTATCTGTCCCTCTCTGATCCCCATTACGTACACTGGGAAAGATGAAATGAGCAATCTGAAGACAAATCTTAGCCCTTAGAAGCAGTTCAGTTAATACACTGCATATGGTCTTGAGTAAACCACGCTGTAAAACAAAACCCAATAGAGCATCAAAGACTAATACGTAGTAACACTGTAAGATCAGGGTAACATGTTTTTAAAATCAGTTTCAGCCCTGGAAGTCACATTCAACAACGCATACTATGTCTGTGCGCTAAGCAGCTAAGGAGAACTCATCTAAAAGCTTTTTTTTAAAAATCAATCAATTATCATTTCAGAGCTGTTTAAATGAAAAATAATTCTCTACACTTAACTGACTTTACACAGAGAATTGTAAGAGTTGGATCAGAGTAAACCATAGGCTAAGTTCTACTACTCACGAAAAGAGGAAATCAAATTCAAGTTCCTGTGGCAAAGTCTCTTTTTATCGACAGCTACCCTTGTGAACCATATTTTCTATGGAGTCAAAGACTGCAGTGGATTTTTCCTCCACTTTATGACAACCACAATAGCAGGAAAAGACATCACTATTTAAAGAACAAAACAACAAAAACAAAACAAAACAACAAAAAAAAAAAAAAAAAAAAAAAGAAAGCAAAAAAGAATAATCTTTCTGGTAACATGACTAAACTGCTAGGGGATTTTAACACAAGCAGCTTATGACCCCAAGGTGCCACCTTCAGAAACAAAACAGAAGTTTCTGTTGTAAAATATAAATTCACCACATTAGAAGACCCAAGTATTACTTAGCTTAAAAACTCCTACACTTCTGTACCACCATGCAAATGAGACCAAATGTATTTGCAAAACTCAAAATGTCATCAAGGCCACTTAAGCTCATTTTCAGTACCACAGAGTATTCAAAAGCACCTGACAGTAACAAGGCTGTGGATAACCTTTGCTTATCAGTCTCCTAAACAGTCAGCTCTACACGTACCACATACCACGTGTGTTCAACACATACTTCTAAGCACATAGAGATGGTGAATGATTATGGTACTCCTGCTACAGCACAGAACCAGGAAAAAGCAGCACTCAGATGCAGTTCTGTTCTTCAGAACCCAAAAGAGGCAGGCACAGTGTTCTTCTTCACATCACATCATTTGGGAACAAGCTGAAAAGTGTTTCCAACAAAAATGAACTGTGAAGACAAAATGAAGTACTTTTGAACATGCTGTTTCACACAAGGGTCTGCTTGGTACAACTGGAGAAGCACAGCTGTAGTGGAAATGCTAAGTCATGGCCGGAAGCAGTGATAGAGCACCTGGTGGAAGGCAAGGCCAACCCAGGGAAGGTCAGGTGCACTCAGTGCAATGCAATGGAATGCACCTGAGTGACCGGAAGGAATGGAGCCAGGATCCATAAGCAGGAATTCCACTACCATGAACTGTAATCTGTACTGTGCAGTGTCCTATCAGGGGAAAAGCATTTTTGCTGTTAACTTCTGATTTCCAAACTAGCATCAAGTATTATTTGTGAGAAATACAGAAAAACAAACTTTTTTGTGAGACGGAATTCATTCCAGAAGGGGGAGACAGAAAATGCTCCCATAGGAAAGCACCCCCAGGTACTTACAGCCAGGATTTTCAAAAGCACTTGAGGAAGTGAAATGTGTGACTTAAATGCACTCCCTCCCTGAGGGTTCTCAGTGGGCAGCGACTAAGAGCAACATGAAGATCTTCAGTATCTGAAACAGCATTTTTATCTTTACTTCCAAAAACATGAGTTGAGAAAAAAACAGTATATCTTCTCAACACAGAAAACAAAAGTTCATAGTCGTCAGAGTTAAAGCTGCCCCAGCAGGTTGTGTGCTCTTGTGCACATGTGATTTGCCAACATTGCCACAACAAAGTACTGAGCATTTTTCTGTTCAGTGCAGTGTTAAATAAGAAAATATTTCAATGCAAAGCTTCTGGAACAGGAAGATGGTTAATCATTTCAAATATCTCAAGTCTGACATCACCACTGACACTGAAAGGTCATATTAGGGCTGGTAAATGAAAGACATGGCCTACACAGAGCACAAAAATAATTTTCCTTCCTCCTGGTAAAAGAGCTAGGAAACCCCCAGGCACAGTAAGGGAAAACAAGCCACGGAGGGGGCAGTTTTCTGTAAGTCTGGCTATTTTAGTTCACAATCACTCCAAATTTTCTCAGAAAAGGGGCTATTCTAATACTTGTAGTATCTCCAGAAACAAAACCATAAATTCTAGGACTCATCAGTCCTCTTGTCTCCTAAAAAGGCTGAGAGAAAAACTCAAGGAGGTTAAGATCAAAGAGCACCTGAATACTAATTTCTGGTCTTCATTAACTTTCAAGCTTCCCTGAAAAAACGTAAGATTTTAAAGCTGATTTGACACCTACCGGTTAATTTCTCACCTACTGCATGGGAAACTACCTTTCTGACAATTCTATTTGCCTAAGCCTAGGCTGACCTGTGACTGTGCCAACAAAGTCCAAAAGATTTTTATTTTTTAGAATAAACATCTGAGAGTATAAGCAAACATATTTACTCCTAAAAGCACAAGTCATTTCTATTTCACACCAGAGAAGCAGACAGAAACCCACCACTATATTAATCAGTTTCTCTGATGCTAACTTCGTCATACTCCTATTTTTGAGCTTTTTCATGCTTTGAACAGTCCATACAGCATAGAACCAAAATCAAGGACACCTTTTTTTATGCAGCAAGTAACAGCATACTAGAAGTTCACACTCAAGCACACACAAGGCTATTGTAACTCCCTGTCAGCATTAACAAGAGGAGTCTGTACAAGGTTCAAACAATTTTACTCTTTGATACTTAACACCATGCTGAAACCTTTGCTCCCATGACTGCAATGCAGACGTTGTGCAACATTCAAATGTCTGTGTGATTAGCAAGGCAAATAGAATGCTGTACTAATCAGGATACGGTCGTATCTCAAGCCTTGCATTAAAAAAGCCTTTCAAAAGAGACGAAGAAACATTTCACGCTCTAAACTAGGTCTAAGCAAGCCTGTCATTTTGGACAGCATTTGTTTCTTTAACATTTCGTAACTGTTTCTGCAGCAACAAAAACAGGATATAACATCAGTGCCGTAGTTATTTGGAAAGTGCTCTTTGCTTCCTTCGCATGATGAGCTCATGCAGAAGCCCTTGCATTTCAGATCTGCAATCTGACTTTGTTCAGCGTTAAAAATTACTCAGCGTGCTTCCCAGCTTTCAAATTTCCCTGTAAAAGAACGAGCAGGGAAAGCAGAAGTCTCAGAAAGGACCTTTCACGCTTCTTGTTCCTCTGCCAGGCTTGAGTAACTTCCCACGTACGTTACCAGCGACCACACGAACTGCCATTTAAAGATGGCAAGAACCCCAGTCTTCCGCATCAAAACAAGTAAAGTTCGCTTTTACTCCAAGGAGTTTACGCAGACTTGCACTCCACTTTCTCACTAGGCACTTTAAATCACACACGGAAAAGCCAAGCGAAAGGGCTCTCCAAATCTCCGAGGCAAACCCCGCCAGAGAAGGCAGTGTCGGGTTTCACGTCTCCCGGCAGCGCGGGCAGCCGCGCACCCACATCCGGCTCAGCTCGGCCCGTTCCCGGACAGCCGGGCCGGGCAGGGTCCGCTCTCGGAGCGCGCAGGGCGTGCGGAAAGCAGGCGCGGGGAAGGGAAGAGCGGGAGGTATAACGCACCCGAGCCCGCCGGGAAGGTCTCGTCTACAGCAGCGTGGCCGAGTCCGGCGTGGGAACGGGCGAGGCTTCGAGCAGGGCGGTGACGGACGCCCTTCTATGTTTCAGAGAGTGACTTAAGTGCTTTTCCCTCATACTTCCCAAGGCTGCTGGAGACCTCAGCCGCCCCTGCGCGTGGGTAGCAGCAGTCGCTGTGCAAGGTCGAGATCCCTCTCGCTGAGGGACGAGGGCGGTGCTCGTGGTTGCCTTACCCTCCGTTATTCTCTGCCGCGCCACGTTCGTCAGCCCTTACGGTTTATCGTGACTCCGGCTGTTGGGTATTTCGGAGCGAGGTGAGGCGAGAACTACGCTTCTGGTTCCGTCACCTCCTTCAGGAGAGCGAACCGAACTGCGCAAACTCACCCAAGATGGCGGCGCGGCTTTACGAGAGGACGGGGCGCCTCCTGCCGGCCGCCGCGCGCGGCATGGCTACCGGCTCCTAGTAAATCTCCGGCGATGGAGATTCACCTTCGTGGTTCTTCGACCGGGAGGCTGGCAGGTAGGACTGCGCTCTCAGGAAAGCTTAGTGTATGATAAAGATTTTATTTCGTATCTGTCATAGGAGTTGTATAATATTTTTATATTGCACAATGTTGACAAAATATGTTCGTTGTAAATCAAGGCACAGCTAAGGGGTGAGGCCGAAATGCTGCCTGGCTATTCTGTCCCTCAATGATCCCACGGTGATTCATAAATTCAGGAACTTTACTGATGCTAGTCCAGCTTGACAGCTGATATAGCTAATATGCCTATGTGAAATTGTGGTTGTCTATGATAAACTCTCGATAAACCAAATGATCCCTTAAAAAAAGGTACTGAAGAACACACACGTTAGTTTGTTTCTTTGTATTTTACAATCTTTCTGCCCAATTAAACTAAGCAGCACACCAATGTTATGCATTCTGAAAATGTGCTTACTGTAACTTCTAAGTGTGCTTCCATCTGCTAGTGATAGGAAAAGAAAAACTTATCTCTTCAGCTGCTGTAAATCAGAGTAGAATCAATTGAGTTGGAAGAGGCCTTTAAAGGTTAATTTGCTTGTAATAGTCAATGAAGCGGCAGGACTGATGGTTTGAAAGATTCATCCCAAGGGACTTGCAGCAACCTCACTTCAGACTCAAGCATTCAACATAGAACAGAGACCAATAAAATGTGAACCTGTAGACTAGTATGAAAACAAGCTTTACCAACAAGAAACTAAAACCAAGAGCAACTATTGCTTAGAGTTCCAGAAGCATTATGCAGTGTGGCAGGATGGCTGGGAGGCAGTGTGTGGGCACACGCATCAAGTATGGGAACAGCTGAAATGAGAAATGTGCATCCAAAGCTAAGCTTCACTGATAGCACATGTAATGCTGGCTCTTAACAGTTAACTGAATTTTAGGTTGTTGTTCAGAAGAAATTTAACAGTTTAGTCTTAGGCTGACATAGAGGGAGACAAAAGCGAGCATTAGCTTTTGCAAATGTGTATGCTTTTTGGGAGTACCTAAGGGACAACGTGGAAATTCTTGGTGCAGTGGATTTCACACAGGATGTTCTTGATTTGCCTTTTCACAGACTGATTGAACTGTGTGGAGATGTTTCAAAAAGACTTTAGGCAAAAAAAGGAGTTCAGTAAAGCTGTTGTGTGCCCTATGAACAGAGCTTTGAGCAATGTCATGCAGAGATGTAAAGCTCCACTGAACACTACTGCTGCCCTCTCACAGCAACAGATGGTTACTGGCTCTAAAAATAAAGCCCCATTGTAATTCCACTTTAAAATGTTGTGTAAATATATGTTTTAAAGATACTTTTAAGCCATTTGGTAGGAGCTTCAATTTTATTTTAATAAACCTGCATCTGTGACATGGCTACCCCAAGAAACTTTCCACTTTATTCACAGTGGATGTACACTGTATAATTATCTACTGGTATGTAGCATCAGTTTTGCTTTCTTTTTAGTGATAGGCACCCTATTATCTGAATTGAGAACTTAGTATAACTGCCTTTTCTTTCCTTACTGAGGGCATAACAAAGATTTAAAATAGGATATCCAGACAGTGCTAATTCCTAGCTCTGCAAAGGCTCTTTTTTTACTATGTGTCCTCACCCCAGGCATCCAAAAAGCACTCTAAGAAGAATAATGCAAAGAGAAATAATATATTTAAAAAATAGTATAAGAAAGCTGTATTAATGCAAAATTATAACTGGAATTGTATACCAGAAAAAACAACTGTTCTCTATTTTCAGTTTTTTTTATTTACA